TAGCTGGGCCTTCTTCGCGAGGTTCCAGGGAGCAGTTTAAGAGGCCTAATAACTGGGCCTGCTTCGCAGGGGTTTCAGGGAGCAGTTTAAGAGACCTAATAACTGGGCCTTCTTCGCGACGTTTCGGCAGCAGTTTGAGAGGCCCACTAACTGGGCCTTTTTCGCGAGGTTCCAGCCTTCTAATAACTGGGCTTGCTTCGCACGGGTTGCAGGGAGCAGTTTACGAGGCCGAGCACCTGGGCCTTCTTCGCGACGTTTAGGCTCGCGTCTCAAACCTCCCCTTCAGGCCCTCCTTGAAGCCTCCCTGTGAAGCTTCCCTTGAAGCCCCCCCTTCAAGCCCCCCTTGAAGCCCCCCTTGAAGCCCCCCTTCAAGCCCCCCTTGAAGCCCCCCTTGAAGCCCCCCTTGAAGCCCCCCTTGAAGCCCCCCTTCAAGCCCCCCTTCAAGCCCCCCCCTTCAAGCCCCCCTTCAAGCCCCCCTTCAAGCCTTCGACCCTTCGCCTCCCCCCCCTCCCCCCTTCACCCCCCCCTTCAAGCCCCCTTCAAGGGTCCGAGAAGGGCTTCAAGCCCCCCTTCAAGCCCCCCTTCGTACGAAGGGGGCGGGCCCAGCCCCGCCAGGGGTCAGCAATGCCAGTTTTCCGGCCATGATGTGTTACTCCGACCCAGACTACTGGTTTGGGGGCGCTTTTGCTCGCCTTTGAGTCTCACCAAAAAGGGGTCCCTTGGGACGAGCAGCTGGGCTGCCGGTAGTCTTGGGCTTCCCGAAGACAGACAATCGCATTACAGACCTACAGGTCAATGTACCTCCTGCAGCCATGGTGGCCTTTCTCGCTGGTCGTGCATATCTGCCCACGTGCCCTGCAAGGACTCCCCCAAGTCCACGGACAAGTATTGCCGGAGGCCTTGAGGGCCTGGGCGGAGGCTGCCAAGCGCACAAGTCTGGAAGCCGCCAGGTTGGCGCAGGAGCCTAGCTTTAATGCTTTTGTCCGGCTTTCGCTTCCATGCTCGCAAGCACTGGGGCACCGCCAGTATCAAGAATTTCGGCCAGGTGTACCACCAGTTCACTTCCTTGATGCCATTCGGCAGGCCCTCGCTGCCTCCGTTGCAAACCAGGACATTGAACACTTCTGGTCCGTCTACAATTTGGAGTGGCCTGACACAACCGCAAGGGTTGCGGTTTTCCTCCGGCGAGTGCTGCCTTTGGAGAGCCTCCTTGCGCCGCCTAAAATCTTGGAGCCCTCTGCGGCTACAACCCAGGCCCCCTCGGAGGGTGTTGCATCTCTTCTGACACTGAGGAGGCTTCGCCTGCACCTGTTGCAGAGACACCTGAGGCGGCTGACGAGTTCGAAGCTCAGGTGCATGATTGGCGGTTTTCGGAGCTGCGTACTACTGACCTTGCGACCTTGCGGCCTTGCGAGAAGTGGATGTTTCTACCCCTTTTCGATTACCAGCCCTGGAGGATGAGCATTGGCAAGGACTTAGTACAACGCCGAACAGACATGGGCCCCAACGTGCTCGGTGGTTTGCTTGGTATGATGCTGCCACCGCCCATTGGGCAGCCCTTAAGGGGCTTACACGATCCAAACATCCAACCAAGCAACGCCTCAACAGCTTCTGCTATAAAATGTACTGCCACGGCAAACCCAAGGAGCCTGAGCCCTCGGCCCTTGCAACTGCCCTCTCCACCTTTCCCTTCCAGTCCCGGGAAGACGGTGCTGTGCAGTATTGGCAAGTGCAGGAGGCCATTCGAACGATGTGGCATTCAGCCAAAGCCAACTTGGCACAGCGTGTAGGAGTTCCCATCCTGACTGGCATCCCAGCGTGGGGGATCGATGAGGAGGAGTTGGCGCAAGCCTGTCTGTTGCCCCGCAATACCTTCGCCGCTGACTCGCCAACTGCTGTTAAGGGAGTCAGCATGAAGGCCAAACAATCAGGTAGGCGTGCGGAAACGCCCTCTACATGGTATCGTCCGCGACACCCTGATTGGGACGGTCCATGGCAATGATGTGCTGTGGGCCGGCGTAAGGGTTTGACTGCTGCCTGGTAGTCTCTCCCCGCTGAATCGGTAGCTGTTGCTACTCGGCTGTTGCTCGGGGCGCTCCACACTGGCTGACCACCATGGGGTGCCCTGGGCTGGTCTTGCATCAGTTGTTCTTGCTAACAAGTCCCCACTGGCTGACCACCATGGGGCGCGTGCTGGCCTTACCTCTCTTTTGGGAAAGTTGGCCAACCTGTGCCTTCCCTTTTCGCTACGGTGTGCCTGGCACCTGACCGTGTCGGTCGGTAAATCTGCTGTCCTTACTCGATTTACAGCTTTCCTTGCCGACCTTCGTTGCGCCAGTGGCTTCATGATGGTGATGTTGATGATCTGGCAAACCCTCGCATTTTGCGACCCTCCCGCATGCTCTGCGCTGCTCGATTACACCTGGACTTCTGCGACGACCTCGAGTACTGAGCGCGGGGGATACTTTGACGTTTGGTGCTTTGGTTTTTGCGGGTTGTTGCGGGTTTTGGTGGTTGTGTTTTGTGGTGGTTTTGGTGTGTTTGTTTGGAAAGATTTTGGAATCATTGCGCAGCTAAGGCGGCTGCTATGAAAACAAAAAGACAACTTTGTCGCTTCGCGAAGACGCCGTCTTTAAGTTTTCACAATGCTTCCCAATCTATTCCAAATTATGTTCAATAAAGAATCTAGATCACATAAACTCTGTACGAGGACGCTCCCTTCTTTTCTCCACGGTCAGGGGTCAATCAAAAGCGAGGCGTTCGAAGAGTGAAGAGTTCTTTCGAAGGTTTTCGGTTGGAGCACCCAGCATGTATGCGTTGAGATGCGCACTGGCTGTTTAGGTGCATGTTACCGATTTGCCCCAACACGCATAACCCCCCCCCCAATCGGTAAGGAGACACCGAGGGTGGGAGGGTGGGTGAAAAAGTTTAGCGTAGCTCAGCACTAGCATTGCCCATGTCTGCGTACATCATGGACTGCCATGCATGTGTGCCAGTGCGAAACGAGCCAACGCATTACGAAACAGTCAACATGTTCACCTGGAACTCAGCTTGTCGGCGATCCAAACCAAACGCATCGAGTACCTTCGGCGCGGGACCTCTTGCGCATCCTTCAAACAATGCCTTTTTCGCGATTCTGTTCTTGGGCTCTGTCAACGTGCGCATTTGATGCCGAAGGCAAGAACAAGATTTCAACCGCTTGTATTCAAAAAAGTAGCACGTAACGCACCCAGCGTCGGTTTAGTACAGGCACGCATGAAAATCATAAGGTTGGACTTTGCGGCTCAGTGGAAGTTCAGCAGAAACGTAGCACGCTGCCTGCAACCCTACAACCGGGAAGGCTATCTTCTAGCGAATTGCCAACTTCATGCAGTCCTTTCGTTTTGCATCCTCTTTCGAACATTTCACGGGCGCTCGTGACCAAAGGGCCTTCCATTCTTCGAAGCAGCGCCCCAGGAAATTTTTTCAAACGACTCAGCACCACCGCAAAAAGATTGCAACCAGTTACAGCATCTATTGAAAAATGCCACAAGTATCCTATACATATATGTATATGTATATGTATATGTTTGGCAGATATCCTCCAGTGAGCAACGCTCCGTAGCGTGTAAAAGTCCACGAAGGTTAAAGCAGCACACACTTTCGAGACTGCGACAAGTTGTTGACTTTAAGACGACACAGCGTGCGACAACGCAAGAGAACAGTCTTGCGTGGGACACAAAACGCACAAAACTGTAACAGAGCCACAAAGAGCGTAACACGTCCGAAACCGTGGGAACACTGCCATGTCAAAACACCATTTCTATTTAGGTCCTAATGCCAGATAGCTTGTGACGGTCCCTGAAATCCTGACATTAGGGACTCCCTTTATTTGAGCTGTGGCCTTCATAAAGACAATTTCGAGCGCGGTTTTTGAGCGGACGGTTCTCGAAAAAACATCAGGGAGTTTTTTCGATTCCTAAGGGGAAGTGAATTGAACACCCTGGTTAAACGCCACCCAAAACTACTTGAACTACAGGCACTGGTGCAACGCTCAGAGAATGAAACTCTCAAATAGTCCTTACAAGCCCTCCACAAAGTCCGAGCGCGCGCAAAATTTGTGAACTGCTGCGATGGGCATGCGCAAAAAGCAAGTAACGAACAATTCTACACGAATGCTTATGGGCTTGCAGTTCCTGGCCATCTTGAACCCTGATAGCAAGCAAAATGGGGTTCACACGAGCAACCAATTCCATAGGACAAGCAATGTTGACCCGTTGTACACACATATGCACATAAGATCACATAAGCACATAAACATACAAGCACATACGTACGTGAGGACGTGCGGGCGTACGTACCTACATACGTATGTACGTACGCACCTACATACCTACGTACGTAGGAACATACGTACAGACGTACACACACACACCCACAGACACACACCCACACACACAATCACAAACACACATACACACATACACACATACACACATACATACATACATACATGCATGCACATACGTACATGCATGCATGTGTACATGCATGCATGCATACATCGGTATATACACATGCACATGCACATTCATATGCACATGCACATACACGTACATGCACACGTGCATACGCGTGCACATACACTCGCACATACACATACACTTGCACCATCACACACACACATACACATGTATGTTTGTGCTTGCACTGAGAGGGCGCGGTTCTTGCGCATGTGTTTATGTATGTACTTGTATCTATCCATCTAGTTGCACATGTACGTACGCGCGCGCGCGCGCACGTGTGTGTACCTGTACATCGTTGAACAGTTGCAGACAGTCGTGTGCGTGGCAGATCCTACACTGTCCTACACTTAATCCAGCAGGAACACCCAGACAAGTAAGCCCTGAACCCCCATTGTTGTCAACATGCCCGTAGCATAGCCATTTTGACCGAAGGCATGCGTGTAGAAAACTCTGATTGGCCACCCACATTCCAGACAGGCAGGTGTCCGCCTGACCATGTGCTGGTCATTCGAAGTCTCCCTGGTGTTTGGGACGCTGGAGTTGCTCACGATCTTTGTACTTCTGCGAAGGAACCAGCACCATGATCGGTGCTTGGCTACTCTTCTGTTCCCAATCATGATGCAGGAGTTGTGCCAGATGATGATTTGGCAGTACGTCGGCGAAAATGCTTCCACGTGCCCAGCTGAAAACTTTTTTTGGGGCAAGGCAGCAAACTTGTTTTATGAGTCCGTCCCGCTGTTTGCCAACATAGCTGCCTGGCAATGGTTGTGGTGGAAGCTGCCAGACAAGTGGACATGGGACATCCATTTGCTCATTGCATCGACTGTGCTTGCATTCGCTGGATATGTGCTTAGTGCTACAAACCGTTTCTATGTGCTTCCGCCTGCGTGCACTTTCCCGGGACCCTGTGGTCATCTTCTCTTCTTCCCGCAGGAGAATGCAATCGTGGTCCCGCTCGGCGGCATTTACTACATGCTTCTTGCTGTTGTTTCAGGGGGAATGAAAGAATGCGACTAATGGTAGCTATCATATTACTCCATTCTTTCATTCCCCTATGTAAACAATGAAGAATGGAGTATTCTTATAGTAACTGTTGGTATCATTCTGAATCATTCTATCATTCCCCCCTTAAGCAACCTAGACCCGACCAGACTAGACTCTACTATACTATGCTCTTGTACACTACACTATACTATACCACACTATGCTCTACTAGACTCTACTATACTATACTCTACTACACTCTTCAAAACTACCCCCCCCCCAAGTAATCCTGAGGTTTCCTTTGTTTGCTGCTGGGGTGATTGATGCCGGAGACGGCAGACTGCGGGGACGTTGGGGCCTAGGCGGCGTGGCTGTACTTGGAGTCATCGAAACATTCACGGCCGTCTTGTACTTCAACAACCAGATGCCATCGTTTCTGTACCGGGAGACATGTAATCCAGATGAGTTCTACTCTACCTGGTGCTGGCAGGCGTATTTTATTGCGATTTGGGCTTTGCTGGAAGTCTGGATTTACCGGAAGGTCGTTGACCCAAACTGGCAAGTACCTGGGCCCATGTCCAGTGGTCTACCAGATTCTGAGGGAGAGCGGTCTTCCCTCACGGCACCTTGACCCTTTGTCAGCGCTTTGGGTATGCAAAAGGTTTTAGTTTCTTAGGGGTTTTTCAGAGTTTTAGGGGCTAGGGTTTCAGGGACTTAAGGGGGGGTGAGGGCTTTTGTTTTTTGCTGTAGGGTTTGGTTTCACGTTGCCCGCGAACACGTGGTTTTTCCAGGCTGAAAACAGCCTGCAACAGCTCGTTCACTGCATGCGGCTGTCGAAAGTGATAGCTGCTCCCGGCGAAGTGCGCGAGTCCCTGGTTGCAAAAGGAGGTTTAGGGTTTAGGGTTTAGGGTTTGGGGTTTAGGGTGTAGGGTTTAGGGTTTAGGGTCTGTAGATCATCATGGCTTTATCGTGTTTGGGCTTGGGTTTTGCGGTGCAACGTGTCCATTATGGGAACCGCCATTGAGTTTGTCTTGCTGTTGCCGCTGCTACTGGTTTTACTGCTACGACGACAACGGCGACTACTACGACTACGAACTGCCTACTACCAACTACCAACTACCAACTACTGCTGCTACTAAAACTGAAGCTTAAACCCATAACCCTGAACCTAAAGCCCTGAGCATCAAGGCCTAAACCCGAAACCCTACAAGATGGTGTTGAGTGGCAGCTCTGAGAAGTTTTTAAACTGTTGACCCATGTGCCAAGCAATTCAGGTGTTTGGCATCTCAAGTTGCCAGGCTGTTTGTGGATGCCACAAACCCTAAACCCTAAACCCTAAACCCTAAACCCTAATCCCGAATCCCTAATCCTTAAACCCTAAACCCTAAACCCTAAACCCTAAACCCTAAACCCTAAACCCTGAACCCTAAACCCTGAACCCTACACCTAATGCTAGCCGCTCTTTGGGAGGGACTGCTCTAGGGGGTGTCTCAGCCCGGACATAAGGTTCAAGGTCCCGAGTACACGGATAGTTTCCCCAAGTGGATTTATCCTCGCGCCCTACGACTACCCTAATGACAGCTCGGGTTAGGGGTTGAGGGTTTAGGTGCTAGGCCTTCTTTACACCGCCCCCACGTGTCTAGCACCATGAAGCCAGGAAGGTCCTTCATCTGTCAGGGTGGCAACGTTGCAGGCTCAAGCCTCGCATCAGCGCGACCAACGCGATCCCTTTACTATCATCTCCGTGTTCGTTTGCCAAAAACTCCCCTGAGCATGCCTCGCTTCATGTACAAGGATGTGATGGCGCAGGCATCGTCGTCACTCGCTCAAGTTGTCGGCCAGGTGGACTTAGACGCCGCTTTTGGGCAGGGTGCCCGTGATCTGGTGGAAGCGACGTTGGAGGAGTTCTCTGGAAGCAAAGATGAATGTGAGGCAATCTGCCAGGCCTTGTGCTGCATCTGCTTGCTTTGCTCCCATGTTGATTGCCATTGCTGCGACGACTGCCTCCGGGGCCTGGGCCGTCGTAGAAGGTCCTCCTCCTGGCTGGAGACTCCGAAGCAGCAGGTGCAAGGGGCCATTCCCCAATTTTTTTTTGGGGCGATGCGCTTTTTCGTTGAAGTTCCTCTGGTGACAGCTGCTTGCACACTTCAGAGATTTTAGCTCCACCCGCCCCAAAGACCCTCAACTCGAAACCCCAGTTTCGAAACACTTCCTCCCGTACCCCAACCCCTATTCCGACATGCATTGTGTTGTGTCTCATATGCTGGCACGGTCCCTTCTTGACGGGTCCCTGATACGGCCGCCAGATTCATAAAAAGAGCAAGAAGAATCAGAATAACAGCATCTATATATATATATGTATGTATGTATGTATGTATGTATGTATGTATGTATGTATGTATCGATCCTTGTTCTGATTCGTACCATAAAAGAAACAAAATATAAATCTAAATATAAATATAAATATAAACATAAATATAAAATGTAAATATAAATATAAATATAATATAAATATAAATATAAATATAAATATACAGAAAACGTCCGTCAGCGTTTTAAGCTAAAACTATAAATGTACAACTCAACGTATCAAAGCTGGACACACATGCATCTACTACCCAAATGTAATGAGTAGGCATATTCTTAAATAATGCTCAGTTTCAGAGATTGCGTGGCGGTCAGAGTATGGACTTTCGTCTTGGTTCTCCTCCGGGGCCCCCCCCCCCCCCCCCCCCAAGGGGGGGGGGGCCTGCCCCTTTAAAATTTCATTGGGGGCCACCAATCAGATTTTAAAGATTTTAAAGGTGTTTGAAGATTTAAAAGGGGCCTCCCCCCTTGAAGCTTTAAGTGGGTTAAATATTAAGGATTTTAAAGACTGTAAAAGGGGCCTGCCCCTTTAAAATTTACTTGGAGCCCCCATGTAAATTTGAAAGAGTATGAAATTTCAAGTTCTTGAAGATAATTGAAGGCCCTCCCCCTTTCAAATGAAAATTGGGGTGCACCAAATAAATTTTAAAGATGTTAAAAGTTTTTCAGATTTTAATAGAGAGCTCCCCCGCTCAAATTTATATGTGACCCCAAGTATGTTTTTTTAAAGTTTTTTGAAGATTTGTGAAAAGGGGCCTCCCCTTGAACATTTAAATGGAACCCCAATGAAATTTTAAGATTTATACAGGTTTTAATGATTTTAAAGATTTTGAAAGGGCTCCCCCCCGCCCTTGAAGTTTAAATGGGCCCCCCCAATTCACTTTTAAAGGTTTTGTAAAGATTTAAAAAAGCCCCCGCCCCCCGCCCCAATGAAGCTTTAAAGATCTTAAAGGTTTCAAAGGTTTTACAGAGTTTAGCAGGGGGCTCCCCCGTTGAAATTTAAATGGGGCCCCCAGTTCAATTTCAAAGATTTTCAAACCCCCCCCCCAAAAAAAAAAGTTTACTTAGGGGCCCCAATTAAATTCTAGAGACGTTAAAGATTTTAAAGATTGTAAAAGGGCCTCCCCCCTTTAAACTTTAAGTGGGGGGCCTCAGTAAAATTTTAATGGTTTTAAGTTTTAAAAGATTTTAAAAGGCCTCACCTTGAAAGTTTAAATGGGGCCCCAATTAAACTTTACAGATTTTAAAGATTTAATGATTTTGCATATTTTGGAGATGTTAGAAGCCCTCCCCCCCAAAAAAAAATTAAATGGGGCGCCCAATTCAATTTTTTAGGATCTTAAAAGCCCCCCCCCCCCCCGCCCTTTTATAGGTTTTAACTCTAAACCTTTCCCATTTTCATTATTTTCAACATTTTAAAGGTCCTTAACATGTTGAGAATCCTTACAGAATAACTGGGGCGGGCCCCTGGTCCCCCCAATATCTGAATACCTTTGACAAACTAGATGGGAAGGGGCCCGACTTTTTTCAGGGCTTTAAAGTTTCTAACAGCCTTGAAAAACTTTTAAAGTCATTAATTAATCAAATGGGAAGGGGTCCGAATGCATTTGCTTTAAGGACTTGAAAGGCTTTAAAAAAACATAAATGGGTATGGGGGGCCCCGGGCCCTTCCCATTTAGATTTTTGAAGACTGCAATTCAAATTTCTCCAAGACTTACAGATTTTTTCGAAAATTAGATGGATGAAGATTCCCTTCTTCAAGATTTAAAGGATTTTAAGTTTGTTTTTAAAACTAAATGTATCCGGATGGAGGTTCTCATAGTCTGTATGCAGGTATTGTAAGTATGGTCACAAATAAGGTAAATTCATGAAAAATATGTGTTTTGGACCTGAAAAACACAGGCCTGTATTCCGACGCACTCTCTAAATATAAATATAAATATAAATATAAATATAAATATAAATATGAATATAAATAAATATATATGTATATGTATATATATATAAATATAAATATAAATATAAATATATATATATATGGTGTATATAGATATATTCATGTAGAAAACGTAGCGGAAAACAATAGTACTCAGAACGATTAAGCAAATTCAATAAACAATCATGATAATATAGATATATACACAACATAATGCTATACTGATACTACCACTACCAGAAATAACACTATAGTACTACGGTAATCATACTAAAGGAATTTAATACAACTGCCCTAAACCGGAATCCATTAAGACTACAATGACAATAACATAAGACAAAAAGAACACTATGGTAACACCATAATAACACCACAAGAACACTACAATAACGCTATAGTAGCACTATCAAAACACTACAGCTAGCACTTTAAACAACACTATAAATAGCACTGAAAGAATCGAGAGTCCTCATTGCCCTTAGAGAATTTAGAGGTGACCATATTAGGGCACTTAAGGGGCTGATAAGTGGGTTGTAAGTACAGTTATAATTCGTTAATGAGTACCCCTAAACTCTAAACCCTAAACCCTCCCTAAACCCTAAACCCTAAACCCTAAACCCTAAACCCTAAACCCTAAACCCTAAACCCTAAACCCTAAACCCAAAACCCAAAACCCAAAACCCAAAACCCAAAACCCAAAACCCAAAACCCTAAACCCTAAACCCTAAACCCTAAACCCTAAACCCTAAACCCTAAACCCTAAACCCTAAACCCAAACCTCCAAGTGGAGGTGATGGAGGATGGACCGACGCCCAGTCTTCTGGAGCGCTTCGCCAGCCTGACCTCCGAGGATCTGGGTGCCGTGGTGCGCGGGGCAGGCGGCTCCAGGGTTTAAGGTTTAGGGTTTAGGGTTTAGGGGTTTAGGGTTTAGGGTGAAGGGGTTTAGGGTTTAGGGTTTGGGCTTTAGGGTTTAGGGTTTACATAGGGTGCCCTTGTTGAGGGCTTTTGCTTCCCGCCAGAATGATTGACCATGTTTTTCTGCCATTCGTGGCCGTTTGGGTGGAGAGAGGTTTGGAGTGTTTTGTGGTCCAAAACCCTAAACCCTAAACCCTAAACCCTAAACCCTGCACCCTAATCCCTAATCCCTAATCCCCTAAACCCCAAACCGTGTCGGAAGGCTCCCAGCAGTGGAATCTTCAGGACCCGCGGGAAAGCGCCTATTATGGCCATGTTCAGATGTTAAAGGCTGTTGGGAGGCTTTGACTATTGTTTGGGGGGGTTTAGGGTTTAGGGTGTAGGGTTTCGGGTTTAGGGTTTAGGGCTAGAGGGCTTAGGGTTGTGGGGAGGAGCGCCTGGGCCTCTGGCTCTTTGAGCAGAAGTTCTCCGCGCCCGAGCGCGAGCAGCTGGAGAAGTGCATGGAGCAGGTTACTTGCTGTTGGTTAGCAGGAGGGAATTAGGGGCCCTAAGGTTTGGGGTTTAGGGTTTAGGGTTTAGGATTTAGGGTTTAGGGTGGATTATCTGGGGTATCTCATTCCCCCCATCTTCTGCGAACCAACAGTAAGGTTAAGGCCGCTGCGCCGGACCTGCTGACGGAGGACGGCCCAGAACCCGTGGGTGTTTTAGGGTTTAGGTTTGGGGTTTAGGGTTAGGGCTTAGGGTTTAGGGTTTATGGTCTAGGGGTTAGGGTTTAGGGCTTAGGGTTGAGGGTTTAGGATTTAGGGTTGAAGGTTCAGGGCTTAGGGTTTAGGGTTGAGAATTCAGGGTTGAAGGTTCAGGGCTTAGGGTTTCATGGCATCAAGCCGATTTTCTCCCTTTGTTGTTGTGCTTTGTTGTGGCTGAGGAAGCTCAAAATTCACCCCCCCACAAAGAAAGCTTGGTTCCCTCAAAAACCTAAACCATTCCAGGTGTTTTTTGGGGTGGTTTATGTGTTTTAGATTTTATGTGTATGTCCTTTTTGCCGCTTTGGGTTTAAGGGTGTTATATAGGGGTTGTTGGTGTCTCCTTCCTTCAGGACCTTGTGAACACTACCGAAGTGGAGCAGCAGCTGAACTCCCACAACGCCAAGGCCCGAGCCAGAAATGCGGGAAGCCCAGAAAAGCCCCAAAAAACCCTACGAAAACCCCGACAGACCACCCTAAACCCCATCGGGTTCTTAAGGGAGGGTGGGTTGTGAACCCCTCCAAAAATCCTCCCAGAAGAGCAAACCCTAAACCCTAAACCCTAAACCCTGAACCCTGAACCCTAAACCCTAAGCCCTGAACCCTAAGCCCTAAACCCTAAACCCTCAACCTTAGACCCCAGAAGCCAGGTCCTGGCCAAGCTCTTCAAGTTCTTCGCCGTCACGGCCGCAGCTCTCCTTTCTCTCAGCATTCTTTTGTAGGGTGTAGGGTGTCGTGCTTGTAGGGTTTAGGGTTTATTTAGGGTTTAGGGTTTAGGGTTTCGTGCTTTTAAGGTTTAGGGTTTAGGGGTTTAGGGTTTAGGGTTTCGTGCTTTTAGGGTTTAGGGTTTCGGGTTCCGGGTTTTAGGGTAGGGTTCAGGGTTTGGGTGTTTTTCGTGTTGTTAGCGTGAGTAAGACGCTTTCTTCTTTAGTCTCTCAAAGTAGCGATCCCGATGGTGCCCATACACCTTGCTGCCCCAAAACGCCTTAAACAAAGCTGACAAAAGCCCCCCAAACCCTTACGACATTCAAAATCCCCGAAGAACCCCTAACTAAGCCCGACACCGTAAACCCTAAACCTCAAACCCTAAACCCTAAACCCCGAACCCTAAACCCCAAACCCTAAACCCTAAACACCAACTCCCAGAGGTGGCCAAGCATGGCGCCCAAATCGCCGAAGGCGGCCTGGGTGCCTTGAACATCGGGGAGTGTGAGAAGGCCGTTTTTGGGGTTTAGGGTTTGGGGTTTAGGGTTTTTGGGGAGTCTCGGGGGCGTTGCTTTGTGTTTGGGGGGAGGGGGGGGGGATTGAGGGTTTAAGGGTTTAGTCTATGGTCATTCTTCTTCTTCTTCTTTTTCTTCTTCTTCCCATGATTATTAAACATTATTCTTATGAGTTTCTTAGAGGTTTGTATAGTCTACACATATGAGTATTTGTCGATTTTTGCGGGGGTTGTTCGGCATTGAAGGTTGCTTTAGGGTTTTGGGGTTCAGAAGGCTTGCTTTTTCATCATGGCAATTCAGCTCGAACACCAAAAGCACCGCAACCCCAAACCCCAAACCCCAAACCCCAAACCCCAAACCCGAAACCCGAAACCCTAAACCCTAAACCCTAAACCCTAAACCCTAAACCCTAAACCCTAAACCCTTGAAAAGAGGGGTTGGGCACCCGGCAGGTCCTTTGTGCCGGGGATCTGAAGTACGAGCTCGATGAGACGGGCATCCACCAGTGCACCTGGAGCTTCGGCTGGTGATTCAGTTTGGGTTTCGGGTTTAGGGTTTAGGGTTTCGGGCTACGGGTTTAGGGCTTAGGGTTTAGGGTTGCGGGGTTAGGGTTTCGGGTTTAGGGTTTTCAGGTTTCGGGTTTAGGGCTTGGGGTTTAGGGTTTAGGGCTTGGGGTTTAGGGTTGCGGGGTTAGGGGTTAGAGTTTAGGGAGGTTCCAGGGCTCAGGGTGGGTTCGAGGCTTCAGGGTTTGGGGCTTGGAGTTCAGGTTTCGGGGCCCCCCAAACTCCAGACGCTAGCAAGCTCAGCGGCTCCTAAACCCTAACGGCCCTAACGTCAAAAGCACTAAACATCCCAAAAGCATCCTCATCGCCCTAGCCATGAAGGCGTAAGTTCTGAGACCCCCAGACCAGGAGCTGCCCGGCTGATGGTGGACATCCCCTGATCCCGGGGCAGTTCCAATCTGTGGGCCTATCCTTGGCAGAGCAGGCGCGGCCGCGTGCTTCTTGGGGGGGAGAGGGGGAGGGATGTTAAGAGGGTTTAGGGTTTAGGTTTTAGGGTTTTAGGGTTTAGGGTTTAGGGTTTTAGGGTTTAGGGTTTAGGGTTTTGGAGGGTTTTGGAGGGTTTCTAGGGTGCTTTGAGCGGCCGTTGCATCTGGCAGGTGCAGGACCTCCAGCCCTGGCGTGACGAGACGGCCCAGGCCTTGCAGGCCGTCGATGAGTCGAAGCAGCTGCACTCAGACACCTCGTAGTAGAGTAGGTAGCCTTTAACTTCTTTTTGGGGTAGTAGATGATCCCCTTTCAGAATCCCAAAAAGGTTACTTTTTTTTTTTCTCCCCAGGTTACTTCACACAATCTAAGGAAGAGGACTTCGAGACTTCGAAGGCCTGGGCCATGGCGAAGGACGTCGACGTCCGCTTCCACAAGGCCCTCAGCGGCGACCCGCTCGTGCTCCTCAAGACGCAGACCCCCTCGGAGCTGGGGCGCCCGGAGGCCACCGCCCTCCGCTACCACGGCAAGTGCGTTTCCGACGCCTTCGCCGTGGGGGAGCGGCTCATCTTCACGGGCCAGTCGAAGGACATCCCCCACGAGGCCGTGGTGAAGATCAACCGCTTGGCGACCTCGGGCTGGTTCGAGCTCTCCCCCGTGCCGGCCCAGCACCTGGAGGTCAAGTACCTGGGGCAGAAGGCGGCCCCTTGTTCCCTTTCCTACCCCCCTCGCGCGTGTTTCTTGCCCTTCTTGTCCGCCTGTTGCCCCTTTTTCCCCATGTTCCCACGGCCCACTCCCCGCCGGAGGTCATCGTTCCCATCTCCCAGGTCAGGCGCGAAACTATGGGGAAGCTCGGCTGCCTCCAAGACTTCAAGAGCCTCCCCCCTCCTCCCCCCCCCAAAAAAAAAGAGAAACAAACCAGAAGAACTAAGCCCTAAACCCTAAACCCTAAACCCTAAACAGCATAAGAGACACCCGCAACATCCGCAAGGAAGGTGAGGGTCGATCCTGCTCTCCAAGACTGGCTCTACAGCACCAAGAACCATCTCGAGGTGAGCCAAGGGCTGCCAGGGGTTTAGGGTTTAGGGTTTAGGGTTTAGGGTTTAGGGTTTAGGGTTTAGGGTTTAGGGTTTAGGGTTTAGGGTTTAGGGTTTAGGTGCTTTCTGGTGAACGCTGAGTGTGCAAACGTATTGCACCTATGTTGATGTGTATGTTTGCGAGTAGTAGGTGCCGGTGTAGGTGTAGGTGTAAGTGTAGATGTAGGTGTAGGTGTAGGTGTGTGCAGGTGCATGTGCAGGTGCAGGTGCAGGTGCAGACGCAGGTGCAGGTGCAGGGGTTGGTGTAGGTATGCCGGCAGTTAGAGATGCAGGTGGATAGGTAGGTAAGTCGGCAGGTAGGTAGGTAGGTAGGTAGGTAGGTAGCTGGCTCGCTAGCTAGCCAGGCACGTACACATGTAAGTGAGTATTTTATGTGTGTATGCATGTATGCATGCATGCCCACACGTATGTACATACATAACCACTGTTGTGTGCATATATATATATATATGGTCACCCCCCCCCAATGGACCCACCGCGGGCCTTGATCTTTGCAAAAGTACCGCAAATACCGATAAAACCTATGCTGTCTGGTGATTTTCCGGTGACCGGATTTTTGACTGTATTCCTTAATTCACCCTCTCACACACGCACGGAGGGTTTTTCTTTCTGTTGGCTTTTGTTTATAATTTAAGATCTAGGCATTTAAACCTAAGCCTGCAAAAAAAACACCTTAACCTTTAAACCCTGTAGGGTTAAGGTTTAAAGGTTAAGGGTTTAAGATTTAGGCATTTGAACCTATGCCGGTAATTAAAGCTAAGCCCTTAACCTTTAAATTCTATCGGGTTGAGATTTTTACAGGTTTAGGGTTTAAGATGTAGGCATTTAAACCTAAGCCTGCAACTAATTTTAAACCCTTAACCTTTAAACCCTGTAGGGTTAAAGTTTAGAGGCTTAGGGTTTAATATTTAGCCATTTAAACCTGTAGCCAAGCCCTTAACCTTTAAACCCTATAGGGTTAAGATTTTTAAAGGTTTAGGATATAAGATGTAGGCATTTAAACCTAATTAAGCCTGCAACTAATTTTAAACCCTTAACCTTTAAACCCTGTTGGGCTAAGGTTTTAAAGGTTTCGGGCTTAAGATTTAGGCATTTAAACCTATTCCGGCAATTTACGCTAAGCCTCTAACCTTTAAACCCTATAGGGTTAAGATATTTAAAGGTTTAGGGTTTAAGTTTAAGGTTTAGGTATTTAGACCTATGCCGGCAGTTCATATTGAACCCTTAACCTTAAACCCCATAGGGATGAGATTTAAAGGTTTAGGATTCTTTACTTAGACATTTAAATCCAAGCTGACGATTCAACCTAAACCCTTAACCTTTAAACCCTATAGGGTGAAGGTTTAAAGTTTTAGGGTTTAAGATTCAGACATTTAAACCCAAGACAGCGATTAACACTAAGCCCTTAACCTTTAAACCCTATAGGGTTAAGGTTTAAAGGTTTGGGGTTTAAGATTCAGGCATTTAAAGCTAAGTATGTAATCAATTTGTCACCCTTAACACCTCTAAACTCTGTAGTGTGAAGGTTTAAAGGCTTAGGGTTTAAAAAAACCTAAGCCCCCTAAGCCCATAGAGTTTAAACCTTAAGGGTTTAAGGTTTACGCATCTATTCCTTAACCCTAAACCCTCTAGGGTCAGGACCCTAAAGCCCTCGGCAATCAAGCCTAAACCCTTGACCTTCAAACCCCATAGGATGAAGGTTTAAAGGTTTGGGGTTTAAGACTTAGGCATTTAAACCTAGAGGGCATTTAAGCCTTAATCCTAAACCCTTTAGGGTCAGAACCTTAGCACCCTATAGGGGTCTAGCACGTTCAAAGGCTTGAACCCTACAGGCGCTGAAGGTATACATGTCCTATCGGTTTTTAAACCATTACACCCTGTAAGAAGGTTTAGGGTCTTTTCGGGGTCTATCTCTAAATTTCTCACGGGGTTAACCCTGCAGGGTTTAAAGTTAAAGGTTTAGGGTTAAAGGTTAAGGCAATACCTATAGGATTAGAACCTTATAACCCTGTAGTGCATGAGGCTTAAACCCCTAAAACTTAACCATCTTTTTCTCGAGAAAACCAAAAAACCAAAAAAACCAAAAAAACCATCTTTTCCAAAACTATGGGGCTGGGGCCTCCAAAAGATGGTTTTTTTGGTTTCCTCAAGAAAAAGATGGTTTTTTTGGTTCGAAACCATCTTTTTCTCGAGAAAAAGATGGTTTTTGAGCAGCCGCTCTTCGAAAAACCATCTTTTTCTCGAGAAAAAGATGGTTTTTGGAGATCTTGTCCTGGAAAAACCATCTTTTTCTCGAGAAAAAGATGGTTTCCGGAGGTCTTGTCCTGGTAAAACCATCTTTTTCTCGAGAAAAAGATGGTTTTTGGAGGTCTTCTCCTGGTAAAACCATCTTTTTCTCGAGAAAAAGATGGTTTTTCGAAGGATGGTTGCTCAAAACAATCTTTTTCTCGAGAAAAAGATGGTTTCGAACCAAAAAACCATCTTTTTCTCGAGAAAACCAAAAAAACCAAAAAAACCAAAAAAACCATCTTTTCCAAAACTATGGGGCTGGGGCCTCCAAAAGATGGTTTTTTTGGTTTTCTCGAGAAAAAGATGGTTTTTTTGGTTCGAAACCATCTTTTTCTCGAGAAAAAGATGGTTTTTGAGCAGCCGCTCTTCGAAAAACCATCTTTTTCTCGAGAAAAAGATGGTTTTTGGAGATCTTGTCCTGGAAAAACCATCTTTTTCTCGAGAAAAAGATGGTTTTTGGAGGTCTTGTCCTGGTAAAACCATCTTTTTCTCGAGAAAAAGATGGTTTTTGGAGGTCTTGTCCTGGTAAAACCATCTTTTTCTCGAGAAAAAGATGGTTTTTAGAAGAGCGGCTGCTCAAAAACCATCTTTTTCTCGAGAAAAAGATGGTTTCGAACCAAAAAAACCATCTTTTTCTCGAGAAAACCAAAAAAACCATCTTTTGGAGGCCCCAGCCCCATAGTTTTGGAAAAGATGGTTTTTTTGGTTTTTTTGGTTTTTTTGGTTTTTTTGGTTTCTTGGATTTTTTTGGTTTGTTGGTTTTTGTTAATTCTTATTTTGTTGTTTTTTGCCTTGATCTGGCTAGGACTCGGCTGCCATGCGCGGTGGGTCCATTGGGGGGGGGTGAGCATATATATATACACATACAGATACATACACATATACATGTACATATACATATACATATATATATATATGTATATATATAAATATATAGATATATATATATATATATATATGGTCACCCCCCCCCATGATCTAGGTTTTGCTTTGTCCCTATAAAAACCCTCGTAAATACCGATTAAAATGACATGCTGGCTATGCTAGGCGATGTCCTGTTTTTGCACGTCTAGTCCTATGCGAGGAAACCTGTAAATAGTGAAAAACGCGTGTGTTTAGCACTACTTCCACATCACCACATAAAAAAACACCCCAAAAACACAGGAAAATGCAATTTGGTAAACATGTCTATGAATTATTTGCATAGGACAGGCTTATAAACACAGAATTGTATGCAAAAAACACTTCTTTTTTGCAGAATTTGCAAATTTTGACACAAATCCAAAAATCCAAAAATCCAAAAATTCAAAACCATGGAGCCGGGAGGCCGCCTTTTTTGGATTTTTTGGTTTTCTCGAGGTTTTTTTTTGGTTTTTTTTTTGGAAAAATCCAAAAAAAACCATGTTTTTTTTGGATTTTACTTGCTCCTGGCCTCAAAAACCTAAAAAACACATGGTTTTTTTTGGATTTTGAGTGAAAATCCAAAAAAACCCTCGTGTTTTTTTGGATTTCAGGTGCTCCTGGTCTCAGAAACTAAAAAAACACATGGGTTTTTTTGGATTTTCACTCAAAATCCAAAAAAAACCATGTGTTTTTTAGGTTTTTGAGGCCAGGAGCAAGTAAAATCCAAAAAAAACCATGGTTTTTTTTGGATTTTTCCAAAAAAAACCAAAAAAACCTCGAGAAAACCAAAAAATCCAAAAAAGGCGGCCTCCCGGCTCCATGGTTTTGAATTTTTGGATTTTTGGATTTTTGGGTTTTTTTAGCAAATTTTGCAAAAAATGCTTTTCTTGTATAAAGAATGTGTATTGTTATACGTTGTTTCTGCTAATGTGACTGCCTTGCACACACACAGAGAAAAGCACACAAACACACCCACCATTCGTTTTTTTTCAATTCAGCCTATTCGGTATGCAGGGCGTGGCGTTAACATGTAAAGTTCCATTAGATTTAATTACGAATGAGGCTTAGAAGAGGATGTCTTGGGATGTGGCGTCTTAATATGAAAAGTAATAAAAAAAAGAAATAGAGAGGGTTTCTTAGGGTGTGGTTCTTTTGAGGATGTGGACCTGCAATTCAAAAGTCTAATTGGACTTAAAAAAGAGTGGGGCTTCGAAGAGGATGTCTTGGGGTGTGGCCTCTTAATTTAAACGTCTATTTAAGTGGAATCACAAAGGAAGTCCAGTTGAGGATTTCTTAGGGTGTGGTGTTTTAGTGCAAACCTCAAATTACATTTCATTACGAAGCGGGGCCAGAGGAGACTTTCACAGGGTGTGGTCGGTAAAATAAAATTCCAAAGAGGTAGTAACGAATGAGGCTTAGAAGGGCGTGGCCTCTTAATTGTTTTACTTGGTTTGGTTTTACGAACGAAGCTGTGGCTTTACCATACACAGGTCTTAGGGTGTGGCCTTTTAAATTCTGTCCAAAGGGGTGTGGCCTCTAAACTTAAAATTCAATTTAAGTGGAATTCCAAACGAGTCCAGATGAGGATTTCTTAGGGTGTGGCGTTTTAATACAAACCTCAAATAACATTGTAGTATGAAGCGAGGCCAGGGGAGAATTTCATAGGGTGTGGTCTGCAAAATAGAATTCCAAATAGGTATTAACCAATGAAGCTTAGAAGAGGATGTCTTGTGGCGGGGCCTCTTAATTTGTTTGTTTGACTTGGGTTTAATTTACTAACGAAGCTATGGCTTTATCATATACAAGTCTATTGACATTTCACTAATAGGCACCAGAAGAGGATTTCATAGGGTCTAGCGGTTAAATATGGAATTGTAAGTACATTCAAATACGAATGGGGGCTCATGATATAAATTTCTGTCCAAGAGTTACATACGAACCTAGCCTAGGTCAGAACTTCTTAGGGTGTGGGCTTCTTACCTAGAATTATAAACTTCTTACGAGATTCTGTTACGAACAGGCCCCAGAATGGTGTGGCTTTTTTTAATACAAGCATCTTGGCAAATCGAAAATAAGTCTAATTACAAACGAAGGTCTAATGAGGATTTCTTGGCGTGTGGCTTTGTAATACAGAATTCTAATTAATCTTCATTACAAATAGGGGCCAGAAAGGGATTTCATAGGGTATGGTCTGCAATATAGAATTCTAACTCGGTTTCATTGCGAGGAGGATGTCCTGGGGTTGGCCTCTGAATATACACTTGCTTTACTTGGGTTCAATTACGAACGAAGCCCAGAAGAGGATTTCTTAGGGTGTGGGCTTACAATATGAAATCAAATTGCGTTTCATTACGAATGGGGCCAGCGAAAGATTTCACAGGGTGTGGGAAAAACAAAAATGTTCTAAATAGGTATTAATCAATGAGGCTTAGAAGAGGATGTCTTGGGGCTGGGCCTCTTAATATGTTTTTTTACTTGGGTTAATTACGAACGAAGCTGTGGCTTTATCAGACACAAGTCTACTGAAATTTCATTAAGAGGGCCCAGAAGAGGATTTCATAGGGTGTGGCCTTTAAGTATAGAATTCTTTTCGTAGGGTGTGGGCTTCTTATGTAGAAGCATTTTCTCAATAAAATAGGAAGGAAGCCCAGATGAGGATTTCTGAGGCTGTAACCTCTGCATATAAAGCTCTTGTGAGATTTTGTTACGGACAGGCAGGCCCCAGAAGAGGATTTCATAGGGTGCGGCTTTTAATTGGCAAATTTAGATTTCTAAAAAAATTTTACTACGAATGAGGCCAGTGGCCTTTTAATTTTCATTCCGACTTAGGTTTAAATCTCGCTTCGATGGGCCCGAAACGCCTTTCGACCTAGATCATGGGGGGGGGGGGTGAGCATATATATATATATATATATCTGTAGATATGCACATCATCTGCAATGCATATGCAGGGCTTGAGCCGGTTTGAGCTGAGTTTTGCCTTTAGCTCAGCACGCGACCGGTGGCCCTGAGGTGACCTTACCGGCAAAGCACGACCCCAGCCGGCAGCAGGTGGCGGACACCTTGTGGCTCCCCGTGAAGAAGGACAAGGGCGAGTAGAGGAAGCCGGTCCTCCGGGAGGCAAAAAATGGAGGCGATCCCTCTCCCTCCTCTCCTCACTTTCTTGCAGTCTCTCATTCTTAGGGTTTAGGGTTTAGTTGCTCTCATTGTTGTCTTTTTTGGAAGCTGACGCGCTGCGCGCGCTGCCTGTCGCTGAACCTCGAAGTTCCCGAAGCTCCCGGCAGGCACGGTGGTGCAGCGACCCCGAGAAGTTAAAGGCCGGAAGAGGGCGCTGTAAGGGGTTTCTCCTCACCCAGATGGCCCGGCCAAAGACTTCGGATGCCCCCCGGGCTGCCGGCTCAGTTCGAGTTTAGGGTTTAGGGTTTAGGGTTTAGGGTTTAGGGTTTAGGGTTTAGGGTTTAGGGTTTAGGGTTTAGGGTTTAGGGTTTAGGGTTTAGGGTTTAGGGTTCAGGGTTTAGGGTTTAGGGTTTAGGGTTGCTTCCTTGTTTTGGAAGCCCATGGCCAAGCCCCGCCTGCACTAAGTTGATGTTGGAGTCGTTTTTCCAGAAAAACGGCTAAAACCCAAAAAGATGAGTGTCGCACTTTGGGTTTTGGGGTTTGGGGTTTGGGGTATGATGTGAAAATATCACCAGGTTTCTCTAAGTTTTCTCATATATTGCTATGACTCTTCTACTATGTCATTTTTTAAAAAAGTTGTACACCCCAAGCAATTTTTTCAGAGCCCTAAGATTCCGAGGTGCAGAGACATTTTTCGACTCTTCCTTTTTCGGATCCCTGGTGCTTCAGACTGAAAAGCAGCGGCCCTGCCGCTTAGGGTTTAGGGTTTAGGGTTTAGGTTTAAGTTTTTGGGTTTAGGGTTTAGGGCTTAGGGCTTAGGGCTTAGGGCTTAGGGGCTTAGGGTTTATGGTGCTGCCATGCATTTGGGTGCCAAGGTTGCTGCTTGACATCGGCGGATGGGCGGGAAAAGAGGCGCCCTCACTAACAGACGTCGCTTCATGCCCTGCTTGGCTGCTTGACTGCTTGACCTTCACGGCATTCTCATCCGAGTCGCAGTTTTCTCGACCGCTGGCTTCTATCTGACAGTGTGCAGGGGCTCCAGCAAACCTTGATGCAGAGAGCCAGACACGCTTCTTGACATTGTAGTTTTGGGGCGCTCCCCAGCCACCGACCACTGTAGAGTAGATCCCGGAAGTCGCTTCGCAAGTGTCTCGCATGCCATCCTAAAGATCTACAAGGCCATGCCTTTGCGCAATGGGGCCTGATGTGGCTGTTGCCGATGTCACGCCCACTCTGTGGGTTCACGCAGGGGCCCCGGCTTACAGGATTTAGGGTTTGGGGTTTAAGGTTTAAGGTTTAGGGTTTAGGGTTGAGGGTTCTCTCGTCGGTGCCTGCTGCTTGCATGTGGTAGAAAACGGGCACCACCGCCAGGTTCCCTCAGGCGAGCAGCAACACTGTAGCGGCTGCTTCTCCTTGCAAAAGGCACCTTGCTTTAGGGTCTTGAGTTGGGATGCTCCCCCTTATACAAACAGTCCTTAATGGGGATTCTAGATGATTTTTGGTCCCCCCCCCCTATTATAATGCCTATTAAGGGCTGTTCGTATAAGGGGAAACATCCCAAGTCTTAAGGGGATTCTGAGCGCAACGTGGCCGCGAGGACAAAGCCAACGAGCAGCCGCTGTGGAAGAAAGCCGGCAAGGGCGAAACCTGGCTCTACCAAAACAAGCCGCTCGCTTTGTTCATGTGGGTTCATGTGGGTTCATGTATGTTCATGAATAATGTGTGTTCACGTATGTTCACGTATGTTCATGTATGTTCATGTTTTGGCCCTAAACCCTAAACCCTAAAGCGCCTGCACTCTCTCAGGCACGGGCACTGGTGCATCGGTGGGAAAGAAGCGCGTCTGCGGCACTTTGATTGGAACCGCTGCTTTCTCTACCAATCTGCACCCCAGGCGGCTAGAACCCTTCGCCTTTGTTTTTGGGCCCCTTTGATTGCCTCTCTGTTGCCTCTTCATGGTGGTGTTTGTTTTTTTTATAATGAAATCAGGGCGTACCAGGAATTGTGGTATTTTGGTGGGGTATCTGAGAATCTGAGGGGGATCCTTACTTTGGGAGATGCTTCTTCTTTTCTTTGCCGAGCCAGGGCCCCGAACGTCGCCTCCCCCTCGCGCCGCTTCCGTGGCAGTGGTGGGACAGCGCTGGCAGCAAGTGGGTGTTGGATCGGGCCATCCGCATCTTGGCAAGACTTCTCCCTAGACCCTAGGGTCTACAACCCCAAACCCTAAACCGGAAAACCTTAAACCCGAAACTTGAAAATCTAAACCCTATACAATATACCCTAAACCCTCCCTGAACCCTAAACCCCAAAACCCCTGAACCCCAAGCGTCGCAACCTCCTGAGCCCCCAAGGCGTCTTGGACGTCCCGCACGCGTCTGTGGACCAGCGCCTTGCGCTGGCACAGCAGGAGGTGACGAGTCTGGGGAGTTGTGGGTTTTGCACAGCGTGCATAATATGGTGCAGTGCCAGCTGTTGGTCTTTGTCATTCTAGCTTTAGTTTGTTTTGCTATGTTGCTTTGTTCTCCTTTTTGGGTTGTCTCGCTGTGGACCACCGAGACTTGTACAGGCCCAGCCCCCCGATGGTTTTGTGCTTCTCATCTTCCATACCATCCACCTCCAAATTGCTGGCGCTGATGGTTCCAGGATCGGAGCTTACGCAGTCCCAAAAAGGGGTTTCGAGTTTTTCTTCATACAAAAAAGTCTAAGGGGTTCCTTGCAGCCCTGGATATTCTAGACCCGAGTTCGTCCCCTTCATCAGGATCCGGCTTCCTTACGAACAGCCGCGGGGATGAACGCCCCAAGTTGAAGGCTTCCTGTGTTTCTTGCGGTCCAGGTGGTGGCGCTGCGAGCTTGGGCCGAGGTGGCGCGGAGGCCCGTGGTGCAGAAGCTGGGTTTCATCTCCTTCTTCTGGCGTGGGGTCTGTGGGATTTCTCGGGTTTACAGGGTTTATACAGGGTTCACGGAGTTCCTAAAACCCTAAACCCTAAACCCTAAACCCTAAACCCTAAACCCTAAACTCTAAACCCTAAACCCTAAACCCTAAAGCCTAAAGCCTAAAGCCTAAAGCCTAAACCCTAAACCCTAAACCCTAAACCCTAAACCCTAAAGCCTAAACCCTAAACCCTAAACCCTAAACCCTAGGGATACATCGGGTTTAGGAGCTTTGCCTGCTGCGTGGAGGCGCGCGACCTGGTGGATGCCGCCGGCACCTCCCAAGCCCGAAGTGGATGAGGCAGAGCTGATGGCCGAACGCGCTGCCGGACCATTGAACTCTACCCTACACCCTGAACCTTAAGCCCTAAATCCTATGGGTTTAGGGTTTAGGGTTTAGGGTTTAGGGTCTAAATCCAAAAACTTTAGGGGCTTCAACCCCGTAGAGACCGGACCTAAACCCGAAGTTTTTCAGAACCACAACCCCGAAACCTTACGCCCTCAACTCCCAACCCCCCCCTCTCCCCCCCTCCCAGCCGCGACTTTGGGGGGCAGGACTGGCTTCCCTGGGCGTCGACTTGACCTCACCGCTCTTCACGGATGACCTGGGCGCCACGCTGCTGCTGACGGCTGCCGAGCAGGGTTGGGTCGAGCTGCGCCTCGGTCCCACTTTGGGGGCTTTTCAGGGAGGTTTGGGGCTAAACCCTAAACCCAAAAACCCAAAACCCAAAAACCCAAAACCCAAAACCCTAAACCCTAAACCCTAAACCGGGTTGGGGGGTGTTAGGGGGGCTGAATCGGCTCAGTGGGGTTTCAGGGGCGCGTTGTCTTCAAGCTTCATCCTCAGCTTTCAACCCAAGGCAACCCAAGGCCCAGGACCTCGCAGTCGAGGTTCAGGGGGGTTTCCGTTCCCTAAACCCTAAACCCTAAACCCTAAACCCTAAACCCTAAACCCTAAACCCTAAACCCTAAACCCTAAACCCTAAACCCTGAACCCTGAACCCTAAACCCTAAACCCTAAACCCTAAACTACTAAACCCTAAACCCTAAACCCTAAACCCTAAACCCTAAACCCTAAACCCTAAACCCTAAACCCTAAACCCTAAACCCTAAACCCTAAACCCTAAACCCTAAACCTTCTAGGGCTTCCGAGCCTCCATCCCGCGCGGAGGTGCGGGGAGTTGCTGTCCTCCTCGCGCCCAGGCTACCTGGAAGCCCAGGACCCCCCCAAAATTGGCGGGGGGGGGGGGGGCCGGGAAAGGGAGTGGGAGGCTGTTGTGTTTACACCGAAACCCCCAAAGCCTGCAGAGCCCTGAACCCTAAACCCCAAAGCTTAAACACACTAAGCCCTAAAGCCCAAACCCTAAACCCTAAACCCTAAACCCTAAACCCTAAACCCTAAACCCTAAACCCTAAACCCTAAACCCTAAACCCTAAACCCTAAACCGTAAACCCTAAACCCTAAACCCCAACCCCTAACCCCTAAACCCTAAACCCTAAACCCTAAACCCTAAACCCTAAACCCTAAACTAACCCCTAAACCCCAAACCCTAAAAACTCAAAACCCTAAACCCTAAGCCCTAAACCCCAAACCCTAAAAATTTAGAACCCTAAACCCTAAACCCTAAACCCTAAACCGTAAACCCTAAACCCTAAACCCTAAACCCCAAACCCTAAACGCCTAAACCCCAAACCCCAAACCCTAAACCCTAAACCCTCTGGGAGGACCTGGCCGGCCGCACCGCGCTCTTCCGCGCTGTGGGCGCCGGACATCGGGAGCTGGGAGGGCTGCTGCTGTCCGCGAAGGCCCGTCTGCCTGGGAGTTCTGTCAGGGCATGTCCGAAAAAGTGGGGGTTAGGGTTTAGGGTTTAGGGTTTAGGGTTTAGGGTTTAGGGCACCCCGAGTATACCCCCAAAATACTGTAATCCTTATTCTAGGAGCACTCAAAAGGGTACCCCGATCTTCGGAATCCCCCCATGTTGATGTGTACATGCTATGTCCAGAACAATCTTGTTTTCTTCACAATGAGTTCTCAGTTTTGGTTGTTACAAGAATCTTCTTCGCCAAACACTATTCACGGCCATTTGGGAGTTGGTGGGTGTTCAGGATGTAGGACAGACCCCAGAGATGATCAGGGCCTTCAGAAACCCAAGCCCGGAAACCCCCCAAAATCTCAAATCAGCCGTCCGGGAGCCTAGGTCAACCCTAGGATTTCGGAAAACCGCTTGAACCTGTAAGCCCCTATAGAACCCTTTCAAACCCTAAAGCCCTGAAGTCCCCCCGAACCCACTTTTCTGGGTTTTTTTTGTGAGGCCTGCCCGTCCTCTGCCTCCGTCGACGGCCTCCAGCCCCTCCATGCCGCCTTGAGCAGCGGGCGGGAGGAGAGGGGCTTTCTCCCTTTGCATTGGGATTGCGAGACACCTCCCTGAGGAACCTTGACAGGGACCCTTGTTTTGGATGGTTTAGGGGGTCTATTTTCGAGGGTCAGCCTCTTAGGGGGGGTTGAGCTGGCAGGAGGTTAGGGTCCCTAAGCCCGAAACCCTAAGCCCTAAACCCGAAACCGCTTAGGGTTGAGGTTCTGGCAGGTTGCCAAGGTCGCGGCCAAGGTTGCGTAGACAGTACAAGACGTCGGCTCCCGAAAACTCCTTCAACCCGAATCTCTACACCCTGAGCCGATTCGCAGGCCGTCGGCCCTAAAGCCTAGACCCATCTAAACCCTAAACCCTAAACCCTAAACCCTAAACCCTAAACCCAAACCCTAAACCCTAAACCCTAAACCCTAAACCCGAAACCCTCAACCCTTGATCCTATTTGGGTGGCAACTTGCCTCGACTTGACCCTATTTGGGTGGGACACTCAAGCAAATCCTACTTCCTCACAACCTAAAAGAAAGTGGTTTAAGTAAATTGAGATGTTCAGCCCCAACATGAGCCACAAGACGATGTGGACATGCAGAGTTCCTTGCCGTGCTTAAGCCTAAGTTCCTGAGATGCAGGCCCAGGATGAGAGGTCCCAAAACCCTAAACCCTAAACCCTAAACCCTAAACCCTAAACCCTAAACCCTAAACCCTAAACCCTAAACCCTAAACCCTAAACCCTAACCCTCAAACCCTAAACCCTAACCCCTTGCAGGAGCTAGCTTCTGCCTTGCTGGCCTCGCGTGCGAATGCAGCTGCGCGGCTGCCGTCAGGTCAGATGCCCAAGGCACTACCTGGGGTTTTTGTGAAGTATAGGGTTTAGGGTTTAGGGTTTAGGGTTTAGGGTTTAGGGCTTAGGGTTTAGGGCTTGGGGTTTCTGTTACCACATTACGGATACAAGAATGTGGTTTCTTATTCTGGCAACTTGGCTTAAGCTCCTGAACAGCAACCCAGCAAAGTACGCTTCATAGAGTCTCGCGTCAACTGGCGAAAGTCCCCATATCCAGCGACAGTGATTTTTGGCCTCTGTGTTTTGGGAGGACTACACCGATCCCGATGGGCGGATAAGGACAGCACAGCGTGGCAGCCGATGTGGGTCTGTCCGAAGCAACAGACCCCATACACCCCCCAACACTACGATCATCCTTACAGCTAAACCCCCAAAGGGCTAGACCCTAAACCCTAAACCCTAGACCCTAAACCCTAAACCCTAAACCCTGAAACCTAAACCCTAAACTAAGCCCTAAACACTCAACCCTAAACCCTAAACCCTAAAACTTAAACCTCTCTTTCATATATAATTTAAATGTTGGGGAGTTACTGGGCAAGGTCGCCGTTTTACTGGGCAAGGTCATTTTTTACTGGGCAAGGTCATTTTTTTACCGGGCAAGGTCATTTTTTACTGGGCAAGGTCGTTCCATAAGTGAAATATTTTCTTAATGTTGTAGGATTCTTTGGGCGGGTGGGTATTTTTCTGGAGTATCTTCTTGACTAGTGAATGCTTGGACTTGAAATGCTGAACCCTAAGCCCTAAACCCGAAACCCTAAACTCTAAACCCGAAACCCTAAACCCTAAATCCTAAACCCTAACCCCCCCCACCCCCCCATTTTGCGAACCCCTCATATTGTCTGACTCTTGACGAGGAGCCTGTTGGACTCGGCCCTGGTCAGCGCGCCGCGCCCCCGCCGCAAGAGGTCCGTTGCCTACGGCAAGGAGGACGAGAAGCACCCTAGACCCCATGAACCCTATAATACCTCTAAACCCTCTTAAACCCTACAATACCTCCAAAGCCTGTAAACCCTAAACCCAGTTCTTCTTCCCGCAGTTCTTCCCACAAGCTTCCCACAGCTGCACCCCAGGCACGGGGTGTGCTGGGTGTGAGACGAGTCTGAACCTTATAAATTCTCTAAAACCTCTAAACCCTAAACCCTTAACCCTATAAACCCTATAAACCCTATAAACCCTATAAACCCTATCCAAACCCTATCCAAACCCTATCCAAACCCTATCTAAACCCTATCTAAACCCTATCTAAACCCTATCTAAACCCTATCTAAACCCTATCCAAACCCTATCTAAACCCTAAACCCAGTTCTTCTTCCCACAGTTCTTCCCACGGCCGCGCCGAGAGGAGGCCATCGGCATCTCCTGGCACCGAGATGCGGCTGCATGGGTGGTGCGCTCCCTGAGCCCCGGAGACCCAGCCTCCGAGGCGCACCCGCTGAGAGACCTAACGCCCGAACCCTAAAGCATGATGGGGTTTAGGGTTTAGGGTTTAGGGTTTAGGTTTTAGGGTTTAGGGTTTTTTAGGGTTTAGGGTTCACCCCACCCCATCGTGCCTGGAGCCGAGGCGGGTGTGCGCCCCGGCTGGGTGCTGCTGCGCGTTGACGGCGCGGCGCCCGGCCGCGAGCCCCCCACGGCGCCGGCCACGTTGGAGCTTGGGCGCCTGGGCCTCGGGACCCGGTTTAGGGTTTGGGGTTTGGGGTTTAGGGTTTAGGCTGAGCAGCACTTGAGGGTTCCGTGGAAAGCTGTGCAGGTCCAGTCCAGCTTTCTGACGACTTCTGGCACGGGCACCTGGGTGACGTCATCGATGAGCGGTGGGCTGGGAAAAAAGGGCCCCTTGCTTGATTGTGTGATGGTCCTTGGCGCCACAGGGGCGCGCTTGTGCAACATTTTTGCAGGGTTTTCGCTGCGCCCCGTTAACCCCGAATCGTGTTTCGTCGGCCCAAGAAGCTTCTTTTTCTTGGCAGCCTGGTGACCATCAGAGCCCAGAACTATTTGCGCAGAGCCCCGCTCTCCCCCCTTCAAGCAGCCTCACTCTGAGTTGGCCCGGCTGGATCATTCCTAAAACGGGGGGTCCCAAAGAAAGACGGAGCCACAGCAACCGAAGCGTCCCCAGCATGGGTGGCAAGCGGAAGCGGGGGAGGCCTCCGGGAAGGTTTCGGTCTTTATTATGATTATTATTATTGTTGTTGTTATTATTATTAGTATTAGTATTATGATTATTATTATTATGCTTATTATTAGTATTATGATTAATATTATATTTTATTCTTATTATATTGGGAGTTCTTCACAGGAGCCACAAGACGATGTGGACATGCAGAGTTCCTTGCCGTGCTTAAGCCTAAGTTCCTGAGATGCAGGCCCAGGATGAGAGGTCCCAAAACCCTAAACCCTAACCCCAAACCCTAAACCCTAAACCCTAAACCCTAAACCCTAAACCCTAAACCCTAAACCCTAAACCCTAAACCCTAAACCCTAAACCCTAACCCCTAAACCCTAAACCCTAAACCCTAAACCCTAAACCCTAAACCCAGGCCATCCCCGGTGTCCCACACCCTGCGCGGCGCAGGCCCGGCAAAGGCAAAGGCAAGGGCAAGGGCGGCAAAGGCGGCAAGGGCAAGGAGGATCCCGAGGAGGAGCTCCTGCACCCCAGGGACTTAGCAGAGAGGGCCTTATAAGGACCCCGTCCCTTCCGGTCCACCTTTGTGTGAAGGCAAGCCTCCCAAGGGCAAAGACAGAACCCAACAGAACTCCCTTCAAAAGCATCTCTCTCCTTCCCCCCCCCCCAAGGCAAACAGCGCCCCCAAGAAGCCTAAACCCTAAACCCTAAACCCTAACCCCTAAACCCTAAACCCTAAACCCTAAACCCTAAACCCTGAACCCTGAACCCTAAACCCTAAACCCTAAACCCTAAACCCTAAACCCTAAACCCTTCCCCCAAAACAGAAGCACCCCTAAGAAGAAGGAGAGCGAAGACGAGGCGGAGCCCTCCGAGGCGCCCTCTGATGGGTGGGGGGCCCTCAACAAACCCCTAAAGAAGACCCCCGTAACCTCTTTTTTGGGGGGTGAGGTCGGCCCTTGTTGGGACATTATATATTTTTAACTATTGGGTTTACGAGGATCACACCCCAAGCCCTAAGCCCTAAACCCTAAACCCTAAACCCTAAACCCGAAACCCTCCTAGGGGGGGTGTGGGGGGCGGGCCGCAGCAGGCCAAGAAGTCGAAGAGAGAGGATGCCCCAGCCTTGGGCTTCGGCTGCTTGGGTTTTAGGGTTTAGGGTTTAGGGTTTCGGGTTTCGGGTTTAGGGATTTTTTTTCGGGTTTCGGGATGTTGCCCCTTGATGCGAAGAGCGCCTTCAGAGGGATCCCAGTAGGGGGTGCTAGGAATCCCTCTTTTCGGGTTGTGAGTATGAGGAGGAACATCCCAAGTTTCGGGTTTCGGGTTTAGGGTTTAGGGTTTAGGCCCTTGGGTCATTGGCTAAACCCTAAACCCTAAACCCTAAACCCTAAACCCTAAACCCTAAACCCTAAACCCTAAACCCTAAACCCTAAACCCTAAACCCTAAACCCTAAACCCTAAACCCTAACCCCTAAACCCTAAACCCTAAACCCTACACCCTAAACCCTAAACCCTAAACCCTAACCCCTAAATTCTTGGGATGTCACGCAGGGCTGGCGCGACACGGAGCCTTGGGAGTACAAGAACGACAAGTTCGAGGCCGGTTCGTTGTTGCGTGGCTGGGGGGTTTCCGGGGGGCTCGGATTTAGGGTTTAGGGGTTAGGGTTTAGGGTTTGGGGGTTAGGGTTTAGGGTTTAGGGTTTAGGGTTCCTGCACTGTGGGGGCTTTGGGGCAGGGTGAGGGGGGGAGGGAGGCTGGGGTTGTGCGGTTGTCCCTTGCTGCTGCAGGCTTACTACCGCAGGCAGGCCATCTGCTCAGAGGACCATCCATTTCTTCATGATTGGGGTCTCTGGTAGAGCTAAGCCCTTTTGAACCAGACCCCCCAACTAGTCCCTAACCCCCTCACCCCTGCCGCAGGAGGACTTCACTCGCCTCTTAGAGACGCTGCGAACTGGCCTACCAGTCCTGTCCTTGCCATCCTTGACATTCGGCTGTGGAGTGGGAAGGGAGGGTTCAGGGTTCAGGGTTTAGGGTTTAGGGTGTAGGGTGTAGGGTTCAGGGTTCAGGTTTTAGGGTTTTTGTCGGGCCCACTGTTTAGCAGGATCTTCATGAGTTGTCTCAACAGGTCCTTAAATGGGAACCCTCTTGGTACACATTCTGCATCCCCCACAGCCCTGAACCCTCAAAACCCAAGGCCCAAGCCCTCCAAAACACCCTCTTCCAAGCCCAAAGCCCGAAGACACGGACGCCTTGAAGCCATGGCTTAGGCTGCCATCCGCGTGAATCGCCTGCGCCCGGAGCCTGGAACCACCTCAGCCCCAGAAGCCCTAAACCCTAAACCCTAAACCCTAAACGCTAAACCCTAAACCCTAAACCCTAAACCCTAAACCCTAAACCCTAAACCCGAAACCCTAAACCCTAAACCCTAAACCCTAAACCCTAAACCCTAAACCCTATAAACCCTAAGCCCCCTATTTCCCCAGTCCGGTTCCAAACTTGCCGCACCCAGCCACTGGAACCCCTCAAGTTGCAAACCCAGGCCCATAAAACCAAAAAGCCTTCCCCTTCCCCGTTCCCCCAGCCCCAAGTTGCTATGCTGGGGTTGGGATCAATATTGGGAGCCCCTATTTCGTAAACCCCCCTACTTTAGTTTGCCTGAAGAGTAGCACGCCTCAACAGCAGGCACCTCCGGCGTGGGCCCTCAAAAACCTTGCGAACGTCGGCGTGGAGTTTAGGGTTCAGGGCTAAGCCATAGCTAAAAGAGTGGAGAGTGGTTTAACTGCCTGTTGCACCCCGACAGGCCTATTTCATGTATATTTCATGTTGGCCCGAAAGCCTGCGCGTGCTCCCTCCGCCAAGAACCCCACCCCGGGAACCCGGAAACGCCACGCATCAAACCCTGAACCAGAAACTCTAGAACCCTAGAACCCTAGAATGAACCCTAAACCCTAAACCCTAAACCCTAAACCCTAAACCCCAAACCCCAAACCCTAAACCCTAAACCCTAAACCCTAAACCCTAAACCCTAAACCCGAAACCCTAAACCCTAAACCTCTTGCAGAACTGGGTTTGCCAAAAGGTCTGGGCAATACCTCGCTCTGCCAGCGCCTCGCGGAGCTCGCTGAGAGCTGCCGCACGGATGCCCGCTTCTGGGTTAGGGTTTAGGGTTTAGGGTTTAGGGTTTAGGGTTCAGGGTTTAGGGTTTAGGGTGTATAGAGTTCCGGGAGTTCAGGTTTAGGGGAGTTCAGGGATTTTGAGGGGCTTATCGGGTTCATTTTTGTGCTTTAGGGCTTACAGGGTTCTTGTTCTTTGCAGGGGCTTGTCGAATTTCATTCGGGCTTGGCGCGCTGCCTCAGCCGCCAGGCTAGCCAACGCGGGTGTAGCATGCGCAGTGGTCGGGGACAGTCCAAGGGCTGTTATAGGGTTCTTAAGGGGGAGGTTCAAGGGGGGTTGGTACCTAGGGAAGCTTCGGGAGCCTTAGGGAGCAGTTGGGAGTATTAGGGAACCTTGGGTTACCTACCCCCTTGAACCCCCCTCCCTTAAGAACCCTATAAGGGTGGGGGTCTCAAGAGATGGGCCCTGAATATGCCTGGGCATAAGGGGTTCAAGGTGGCAGAAATTTGGTGGGCATTTGAATCTTTCGGTTGCCCACCTATTTGCGTTTGCCCACGAATCGTTGTCACTTGACCACCAATCATTCATTGTTTTCATTTGCCCAACATGAGCTGCTCTCACTTGCCTACAAAGTCGTCGGCCTTAGCCCATTGCCGACTTTCGGGTTTAGGGTTCAGGGTTCAGGGTTTAGGGTTTAGGGTTTAGGGTTTAGGGTTCAGGGTTTAGGGTTTAGGGAGGATCTAATGAAACTCGGAGCAAGGCGAAGCTTGGGAAGCCTTAGGAGTAAGGAAGCCCAGGGAGGCTTCAAGAACCCCACCCCAAACCTTAAACCCCGAAGCCCCAAACCAACCTAAACTCAAAGCCCTTAAACCTAAGCCTGAACCCCCCAAACCCTCAACCCCTGAATCCCTTAAAGCTTGTGCGACCCCCCCAAACCCCCAAGCCCCAAGCCCCAAGCCCCAAGCCCCAAGCCCCAAGCCCCAAGCCCCAAGCCCCAAGCCCCAAGCCCCAAGCCCCAAGCCCCAACCCAAAACCAACCCAACCCTAAACCCTAAACCCTAAACCCTAAACCCTAAACCCTAAACCCTAAACCCTAAACCCTAAACCCTAAACCCCCTACGTATGGTTTTTCACACGTTCTCGGCTTGTGCGACCCAGGGAGCGACCCGGAGCGCGCGGTTTACGCGCCGGAGAAGCTGCCCTGGTGTGGAGCCCAGGGTTTAGGGTTTAGGGTTTCGGGTTTAGGGTTTAGGGTTTAGGGCTTAGGGTTTAGGGTTTAGGGTTTAGGGTTTAGGGCTTCAGGCAAGCTTGGGGGCGGGGCAGGTGGGTTGAGTGTAGGTGCTTACGGTTTAGGGTTTAGAATTTGGGATTTAGGGTTTAGGGTTTAGGGCTTGGGGTTTAGGGTTTAGGGTTTAGGGGGTTTAGGGTTGAGGGGTTTAGGGTTTAGGGTTTGGGGTTTAGGGTTTAGGGTTCGAGAGCTCCTGTCGAGCAGTGCCTCGTTTAGGCCCGTCGTTTAGAACATCGAAAAACACCCACCCACCCGGAGTTCCCATAACATTAAGAAATACAAGGTTTCTTCTTATTGTTAGGATGGCTCAACAGCAAAACTCATAGGGTTCGCAAGGGTTTAGGGTCTCAAGGGTTTAGGGTCTCAAGGGTTTAGGGTCTCAAGGGTTTAGGGTCTCAAGGGTTTAGGGTCTCAAGGGTTTAGGGTCTCAAGGGTTCAGGGTCTCGTGGGTTTAGGGTCTCGTGGGTTTAGGGCAGCAAGGGTCTAGGCTCTCAAGGATTTAGGGTCTCAAGGGTTTGGGGGCTCAAGGCCGGGCCGATGCCCACGAATCCTTGGGCCTATGCCCACGAAGCCCCGGGCCTGTGCCCACGAATTTTTGGGCCTTGCCCATGAGCCAAAGGCGCAAAAATTCGTGGGCATCGGCCCAGAAATTTGTGGGCATAATCCCGGCGGCCCAAAAATTCGTGGGCATTGGCCCACAATCCGCAAAATGGGCCTTGCCCATGAAGAAACGGGCCTATGCCCACAAAAAAACGGGCCTATGCCCACGAATACCATTGAGGTGTATAATTATAACCATGGTAGGAGAGGTTTAGGGTTTAGGGTTTAGGGTTTAGGGTTTAGGGTTTAGGGTTTAGAGAGTTTATTGCTTAGGGCTTGGGGTTGAGGTGCTTGGGGTTTAGGTGCTTGGGGCAATTTTGTCTTTAAGGGTTTTTTTTCCTCTGTGGTGCGTTACTGTAACTTTGGATCCCTAGCCTTTTTGGGCTTATTGGGTTTCTGAAGAAGGCAGCCAAAAACTTAAGTCATAGCCACCCTAGTAAGTGCAGCCAAGTTTTGTGGCCAAGGTTGTGGGCTTTGGGGTACAAGGCGAGCTATTTTTTGGTTTGGATAGTGGAGGTTGAGTTTTTTTTTCTCCCCCAGAGTTTAGGATTTAGGCTTAGGGAAGTTGGGCGACAGGCTTCAGAAGCACACTCCAAACCTCGCCCCAAACCCTGAAACCCCTAAACCCTGGGCCCTAAGCCGGTAATGAGCTTGAAAACCAACGTCCCTTCACTCTCTGCCCCCCCCCCCCCCCCCCCCCCCGGAAAAAACAATGACCTAAGAGCCCGAAAAACCCATGACTGAGCCGGCCTAAAGCCGAAACCCTGAGACCTAAAGCCTTAGCCCTAAGCCCGAAACCTTAAACCCTAAACCCCCAAACCCCAAACCCCAAACCCCAAACCCCAAACCCTAAACCCTAAACCCCAAACCCTAAACCCTAAACCCTAAACCCGAGTAACCTGGAAGGTATGAGCATGGCCTTGGCTGGGTGTGGCCGGGTTTGGAGCGCGAGGGCCCCGACTTCTGCGTGGAGGGACTCGTTTTTGGCCGCATGAACTTGCTAAACCCTAAACCCTAAACCCTAAACCCTACCCTGAACCCTAAACCCCAAACCCTAAACCCCAAACCCTAAACCCTAAATCCTAAACCCTAAACCAAAGAACCCGTTTCCAGGTTCAGGGCTTCAGGATTTCCAGCGTTTCAGGGTCTGAGTGGCCAGGCCGTACCATCAAGAAGGACTCCCGGCATGCCAGCCTGAAGGAGTGCGCCACTGGTGGTTGAGGGTTTAGGGTTTAGGGTTTAGGGTTTAGGGTTTAGGGTTTAGGGTTTCGGGTCGAGGGTTTGGGGTTTGGGGTTTAGGGGTTAGGGTTAGGCCAGCGCTCAAACCCTTGGCTCTCAATTAAGACCCTAAACCCTAAACCCTGAACCCTAAACCCTGAACCCTAAACCCTAAACCGTAAACCCTAAACCCTAAACCCTAAACCCTAAACCCTAAACCCTAAACCCTAAACCCTAAACCCTAAACCCTAAACCCTAAACCCTAGACCCTAGACCGTAAACCCTAAACCCTAAACCCTAAACCCTAAAACCCTAAACCCGAAACCCGCGCGTGTGAGAGAGTACCCGCCAGGTACCTCTCGCAAAGGGAGCGTGCGGGGCTCATCTCCCGGCAGGAGGTGGGCCGGGCCCTGCGGGCTCCATGTGTGGCACTGCTGGGAGGTTCAGGGTGTTTAGGGAGTTTAGGGGGTTTAGGGTTTAGGGTTTAGGGTTTAGGGTTTAGGGTTTAGGGATAAGCCCCGTAAGTACCATAGTAGGGTGGGTTTCAAGTACAGCTAGCATTGGGTCCCCTAAGTACCACGAACCTCCAAGTCTTGATCCTGGCACCTGGGTTGCGGTTCAGGAATACAGCTGCCATCATATGGGTGTTTACGACTGTAGGGGACCCCAAATATACTACCCCCAAATAGTAGGATCCCCATATAATCAGGACCCCAATAAGGTACCCCGAATATCGTAAACCCCCATATGGGTTTTACGATAGTAGGGTACCTTCTTTGGGGTCCTTGTAAGGGATAGGGCCCCTCGGTTTTAGAAGGAAGACCTAACCCTTATACCCCTCAACCCCTCACCCCCTTCATCCCGAACCCCTTACGACTCCATTCGGCGCGAACCCTAAACCCTAAAACCTAAACCCTAAACCCTAAACCCTAGACCCTAGACCCTAAACCCTAAACCCTAAACCCTAAACCCTAAACCCTGAGCCTGGCTCTCGGTTATCGGGGGGCCGGGGGGATCCCGACGAGACAATGCAGTTGCCCGCCGCGGACTCAGAGGTCGCTGCGAGGTTTAGGGTTTAGGGTTCAAAACCTTGGGGTTTCCGAAATTAGGGGTACCTATTTGGTCATTGGTTCATAAGTACCCTAAACCCAACAGACCGTACTGCAGAAGCTGCTGAGACTCAGGGCGGCTACTCCGATGGACCGCCGACAGAGGCCCCCTTTTCATGTTCCTCCCAACTTGAGCGTTGTTGGCGTTTAGGGTTTGGGGTTTAGGGTTTCGGGCTTGGGGTTTAGGGCTTTTGGGTTTTTGGGCTTCGGGTGGGTTAGAGTTTGAGGGCCTGGGGTTTAGGGTTTAAAGTCTTGGGCTTGGGGCTTGAGGCCTAGAACTACAGCTGGGAGAGTTTTAGGCTTACATACGTCTGTGCAGGCTTTTCGGCGGAGGGGTTTGAGGAGATGTTCTGAAGTCTTCACAGAGCATCTTGGTATGTGTTCTAAGCCCTAAGCCCTGAACCCGAAACCGTTTGCAAGCGTAACCCTAAGCCCTACACCCTAAGCCCAGCATATTCGTTAGGCGAGGGGAAACTTTAACCCCCTGACCCCTAAACCCTAAACCCTAAACCCTAAACCCTGAGCCCTGAGCCCTAAACCCTAAACCCTAAACCCTAAACCCTAAACCCAAAACCCTAAACCCTAAACCCTAAACCCTAAACCCTAAACCCTAAACCCTAAACCCTAAACCCTAAACCCTAAACCCTAAACCCTAAACCCTAACCTTAAGCCCTAAACCCTAAACCCTAAACCCTAAACCCTAAACCCTAAACCCTAAACCCTAAACCCTAAACATCATATAACGGGGAGGGGATAAATCAGGCCAATGGTTGGCGCAAGTATGGCGCCACCCCCTTCTTACCGGGAAAGAGGCCGGCTCGAGGTTCGTTTGGGGTTTAGGGTTTAGGGTTTAGGGGTTAGGGGTTAGCGGTATAGGGTTTGGGGTTTAGGGGTTAGGGTTCAGGCTCTATGATAGCACATGATGGCAGATCAGAGTTTATGATAGCGTATGTTAGACTAGAGTATATAACAGTACACTCTACAGCATATTATTATCGCAGATTCTCGTATTATCGTAGTTTCTAGTATAATAGTAGATCCAGTCCATTCGAGTAAATTATAGTAGGTACATTTTGGTATATCATAGTTAATGCTAGAAGATTATACTATATTATGGAGTATGATCGTATATTTCAGTCTACTTTCGTAGGTCAAATATAGTTCATCCTCGAAAACCCATCGTAGATTCTAGCTTACTGTAGCACATGTTGATTGATTGGCGGCTTCTTGGTCGATTGCTTGGTTGATGGGTTGATTGATTTGATTGATTTGATTGATTGATTGATTGGTTGGTTGGTTGATTGATTGATTGATTGATTGATGAATCGATTGCATGCATGAAGCCTGTGTTCGGAGTTGGTAGCTTTTGTTGGCACCCCGTCGCCTCCCTCTCCCGTCTCAAGCATCATCGAGATGGCGTTGGAACATGAGCCAACCTGACTGCATTGTTGGACACCCCAATCCCAATCCCTCGACCTCAAAGCCCGGAGCCCTAAACCCGAAACCCGAAACCCGAAACCAGAAACCCTAAACCCTAAACCCTAAACCCTAGACCCTAGACCCTAAACCCTAAACCCTAAAACCCTGAACCCTCTTCTGCTTCTTGGGGGGCACCATGCGGACCCGGAGCAGCCTCTCCGCGCAAGTGATTGCCGAGGCCGGCCACCTTTTTGTTTAGGGTTTAGGGTTTAGGGTTTCGGGTTTAAGGTTTAGGGTTCAGGGTTGAGGGTTGAGGGTTTAGTGCAAAAAAGCATCCTCGGCTTCGGCTCAGAGCTTGTGGGGGAGTTGGGGTTTTGGGGATTGATTGGGGTTGAGGGTTTAGGGTTTAGGACTGAGGGTTTGGGGTTTAGGGCTTCGGGTTTAGGGTTTAGGGCTGAGGGTTTCGGGTTTAGGATGTCGGGTCTAGGGTTTAGGGTAGAGGGTTTAGGGTTTCAGGAGCTCGTGCATTTGCGAATTGTTTCGTGGATCTTGCCTGCTAATTCTTCAAGCAAAAGCCACCCTAAACCCTAAACCCTAAACCCTAAACCCTAAACCCTAAACCCTAAACCCTAAACCCTAAACCCTAAACCCTAAACCCTAAACCCTAAACCCGAAACCCTAAACCCTAAACCCTAAACCCTGCTCAGGTGGAGGATGAGGATGCGGATGACTCCGATGACGATGGGGATCCATTTGCAGGCGCCCCTTTAGTGCCCTATTTTGACAGTAATATGTCCAGTTATAGCCCTAAACCCTAAACCCTAAACCCTAAACCCTAAACCCTAAACCCTAAACCCTAAACCCTAAACCCTAAACCCTAAACCCTAAACCCTAAACCCTAAACCTAAACCATAAACCCTAAACCCTAAACCCTAAACCCTAAACCCTAAACCCTAAACCCTAAACCCTAAACCCTAAACCCTAAACCCTAAACCCCAAACCCTACCATTGGTTAGTAAGAACCATGAACCTCCAAGTATGCGCACGTAGGATTAGAAGCCGCGGCCGACCGTCAGGTAATCCAAGCCTTGCAGCTGTGGGGTTTTGGACTGCGTCTTGATACCCTTACCCCTAGAGCCCCGTAAACCCTAAACCCTCTCCAACCCTCCAACCTGTTAGGGTTCAGGGTTCAGGGTTCAGGGTTCAGGGTTCAGGGTTGTTCAGGGTTCAGGGTTTAGGGTTTAGGGTTTAGGACTTAACGGCTAATGGATTCGTGGTCTAGCATTATTTGTTCGCGGTCAAGCACCAACATTTGGCGGACTAGCACGAACAATTCGCGGACAAGCACCAATTCACGGACAAGCACCAACAATTCGCGGACAAGCACCAACAGTTCACGGACAAGCACCGACACTTCGGGTTCAAACGACACGGACGTGGAGCAGGACAGCGTCCTGGGCCTCCCCCGACACCCCGGACGGTTTCAGGGCCTACTGAGCCTTAGTTTTTAAGGTTAAAACGAGAAGTAAGATATTTTCATAATGTGGGTGGGTGGGTCGACATTCGATACCGGAGTAAGGAGCCTTACTAGTGAATGCTTGTACTTGAGATGCTGAACCCTAACCCTAAACCCTAAACCCTAAAACCCTAAACCCGAAACCCTAAACCCGAAACCCTAAACCCTAAACCCTAAACCATAAACCCTAAACCTTAAACCCTAAAGCCTAAAGCCTAATCCTTACAACCCTAAACCTCACCACCCGCCCAGAAACCACCGACGAAGAGAGCTCCGAGGAGGAGACTACCTCAGAGGCTAGGGTTTAGGGTTTGGGGTGTAGGGTTTGGGGTTTGGGGCTTAGGGTTTAGGGGTTAGGGTTTAGGGTTTGGGGTTTAGGGTTGAGGGTTGAGGGTTTGGGGTTTAGGGTTTCGGGGTGTGGGGTTTTGGGTTTAGGGTTTCGGGTTTGGGGTTGAGGGCTGCTGAATCGCCTCTTCGGGTTTAGGGTTCCCTAAGCCCCAAGCTTCTGATGAATTCGGGTTCAGGGTGTTTGGGGCTCAGGCTATTTCTGGGTTCGGGGTGTGGGGTTTAGGGTTTAGGGTTTAGGGCTTAGGGCTTAGGGCTTGGGGCTTAGAGTAGCAGACGATGATTGAACATGTTGGGAGGTGGAGCAATGCTGCAGCATCACTGAGCGAGACTCGCAGCGACACCGCTCCTCCGTGACCGGGATGGTCAGCGAGGTGGGGAGGGCCCTAAACCCTAAACCCTAAACCCTAAACCCTAAACCCTAAACCCTAAACCCTAAACCCTAAACCCTAAACCCTAAACCCTAAACCCTAAACCCTAAACCCTAAACCCTAAACCCTAAACCCTAAACCCTAAACCCTAAACCCTAAGGTGGTGGCGTTGGTTTGGGGGTTTAGGGGATGTAACTGGGCAGCCATGGGCTGGTTGTAGGAAGTAGGCACCTACTTCACTGTTCCCTTAAAGTGTTGCTTCATTTGAAGGAATATACAAATCCCTACACCCTAAACCCGAAACCCCCAACCTGAGAGGGGTGAAAGAGTCCCTTTGGCGTCCTGGCGAGGCCACGCGGCAGAACGTCATGCAGCATGTGCAAGCTGGCCTGGCGGTGGTGCTAGGCTAGGCGGCTGGCTGAGGGTTGTCAGGGGGCTAGGGTTTAGGGTTTAGGGTTTAGGGTTTTGGGTTTAGGGTTTAGGGTTTAGGGTTTAGGATTTAGGGTGTAGGGTTTAGGAGTTTAGGGTTCCGGGTTAACCCCGGGGTGTGTCTCTCCCTGAAGGCACCCACATCACAGCCGCTTGGCTGAGTGAACTGGTTGCGCCATTCCTAAACCCTAAACTTATAAACCCTAAGCGCTAGCCCCTAAAACCCAAAATGGGCATTCCCGCTTTAGGGTTTAGGGTTTAGGGTTTAGGGTTTAGGGTTTAGGGTTGAGGGTTTAGCCCGCCCAGAGCAAAGGTCCCCCTGCCAGACGATGAACCATCGTCACTTGCGGAGGAGTCCAATTCCGCATTGCGTCTTTTGCGCGAAGCCCTTTATGCGTCATCGGGAATACGAAAGTCCTTGCAGGAGCACTTCACCAACGCGGCCAAGAAGCTCTTGGGACCACTGGGAAGGGTGTCGCCCAGCTCACTTTTGTACCAATGAAGGAACAATCTGTTTCCTATCGCTGCAAGAAATTTGTTGATGAAATTGCACGTGCATAGCGGGAGCATCATTGGAAGCCACATGTGAGCTCCCTGATAGAATACCATCCGATCAGGCATAGCTACTTACAAAGAAGTCAAGAACCATCACAAGTACTGGCTACTATCCATTGCAAGTGTGCGTAGAATGATTTCCGGTTGTCACAATGGAATTTGGAAGAGCTGATTAAGAGAAGCAGTCCAACCCTTCTAGGTACGGAGTCCATGTGGTAGAACTTGCAGTCGCTACTTCTCAAGAAGAAATTCGGCGCCCTAGAGCCTTGTCAAGAGTCCGGCAGCTGAAGCCTGATGGATACCATCACCTTCCTCATCACCCTCGCTGTCAAGCCGGATGCGTGCGACAAGCAGGTGCGGGAGACCATGGCCCTGTTGGCCAAAAGCGTCCGTGAGAAGCCCGGGGCCCTGTTCTACCAGTCGTACCAGAAGACCGCGGGCAAGTTGGAGTTCATTGAGACATTCAAAGACTCCGAAGCTGCGCTCTACCACCTGCGGAACCAGCCCGCTGAACTTGCGGCGACCTGGTTCTCGATGATCGACCTTGAGACGATCAGCGTCATCGGGCCAGCCAGTGATGAGCTGAAGGCAGTGCTGGGCGGATACCCCCTTGCGAACAAGCCCGTCTACCACGAGACCATCAGCGGCTTCCCGCCATCCAGCTGAGGCCCCTTTAGGGTTTAGGGTTTAGGGTGGCCCCCCCCCCCATGCGAAGCTCTCGATCTTTCAGTGGCTCCCCCCATTGTCCGCTGGAACGGCGTGGATAGGCGAAGCAGCGCAGGCTTGGATGTGCACGGAGCGCGCGAAAGGGCTGCGGGAAGCGCCAACATCTTGTGAGCCCATCGCGTACCCAACCGCAGCAATGCAAATATCTAAGCTCACACCATGCAAGCACCTCACGCATTGAGGGTTTTTGCCGGTATACCCTAAACCCTAAACCCTAAACCCTAAACCCTAAACCTTAAACCCTAAACCCTAAACCCTAAACTAAAAATTCCCGAAGTACCACAGCGACCCGAGATCTGCTACTCTTGGTCTTTGGGGCCTAGGAGAGGTTGCCAACCCCCGGAGTCCCCACTCCTTGTGAGTTCGGGCCGGCTCGTTTGGGCTTGGGAGTTGAGGGTTAGGGTTTAGGGTTTAGGGTTTAGTAATTTAGTAATGTAGTAATTCAGTAATTTAGTAACTTAGAGTTTAGGGTTTAGGGTTTAGGGTTTAGGGTTTAGGGCTAGGGTTTCGGACCGAGCCTGCTTAACAGCAAGCATTGCCGGGACCCCAGGGTTGAATTTAGACCCGTCTGTGGCAGCCATAGGGAGGCACGCGCCGAGCCCTAGCTGGCACCGCAAGCTGCGAGCCAAGAGAAGCAAGGCGAGAAAGAGGATCACACAGGCTCTTCTCTGTCATCAACCTCCACGTGGAGCGGACCTCAAGAAAGTTACTAGGCATCACGCTGGGCAACTTCTACTATCCCGTGATTTGATGAGCAGACGTGACTATAAGGACAAGACATGGTCCGGATATGGGCGTCCCTACCAATACTGGTCGGGATCCTGGCATGGCAGATGGAACAAGCCCGAGAAGAAGGAGAAGTCAAAGCCAGTCATTGGCTCATACATGGACGCCAAGCCGAATATGGAAGACAATGTGCCAAAGCTCCAGACACCAGCCAAGGAGGAGAAATTGCCGACAGAGCATGGTGGCGATTTTCTGCGTGCCTTGCAGAAGCAGATTACAACAGCGAGAAAAGCAGAAACCAAGGCGAGGAAGTTGCAGGAAGAACTTCTGCAGCGCCACGAGAAGTGGCAACAATTCGAAGAAGACATCCGAACAGCTTTCAAGAAAGAGCGGATGAAGTACAACACAGACATACAGAAACTCGAGGAAGACCTCAAGGATGCCTTGGAGTCTGCCGAGGAAGCACAGATTCTGCTACGCTCGGTAGCAAAAAGTGGAGCGCCATGTGGCTCGAGCACCGTGCCGGAGGACATGGATGTCGACCAGAAGAGCAAGGACAACGAAGCTTGGGATACCCTCATAGCTGGAAGGGATGCAGAAGAAGAGAAGAGCGACAACGAGACCATACAACGTTGGCTCAAACAGGCGTTGGAGGCTTCTCGTTCGGATGTGGATCGTGCAAGAACCAAAGTGCGCGAGGCCCAGGCCAACAAGGATGCGAGCGAACCACAAAGTCCAGGCAGAGCTGGCGAGCCGAGCACGGCATCCGCAAGCACCGGCCCGTACACGTCTACGTCGCCGACTATCACAGATCCCTATTTGGGATCACCTATTCCGATGGCTACCGGAAGGCCTGGCACAGAAAGAACTACTACGACACCAAGACTTCGACACAAGCAGCAGAACGCCGTCGGTGTGAGACAACCGATCAAGCTGGCGAGCAAACCCTCTGGCCGAGTGCACTCTATCTCCCCACGACATCCGGGCCTTTCGCTGGCGCAGAAGCTCGACCAGAAGAGAGGCATTGGAGAAGGGGGCCAAAAGGGCGTGATGATGAGTACAATCCTCATAGACGACGATCCGGACTTGGTGAGTCAGCCGGAGCCTTTGACACCAACGGAGCTTACAACGCTCGAGTGAACATGAAGCTGAAGTATGAGTCCACGACCATTTTGGGTGGAACAAATATATGGCAGCTTGAATCTCACCCACTGCAAGTTGTATTTGGGTATTACACTTGTGGGCCTTATAACTGTAAGCAGTGCAAAGTACAGGTGCACTGGCAACAGTCGAGAGATGTTTTCTCAGCATTCTGGTGCTTGCAACTGGAACAAAGATGCGCGTATGCAGGAATGGAAACTGCCCTTTCGGCCTTGGTATGTTTTCAGACTGATATACATCAAAATGGAACAGATGGGATGGAAGCCTGGTCATTATGGTCCCTTTCGGCCTTGGACTATGACCAGTGTGACCCATTGCGTATGAGTACCTACACTGCATTGCTGAAACTTTCGAGGCTTGGCGGCGCTACACAAGCGGTCTCCCTCTGCAACTGCAATGGCAATGTGCAAGCATTTAACATGGGACTATTCAGCTCAGTGAGGCCAATGCCCTTACTGCTGATGGAGACCCAGGAACAGCATGGTCAACTTGATGCGGAGCCGCTTTCGTCCTTGGACTCCGAACAAATCGGAATAGCTGACCTGGCTGCTACAGCATCTTGGAAAAGACGGTGGAAACCATTTCCTTGGTGTTGCGAAGATCTGATGGGTTGGATGTTCAAATGGCTTGCTGCTTCCATTCAGAACTGGTATACCTGGCAATTTCTATGGGCATTGACACTCTCGAGCAACGCCCTGCTGGGAGCAGCTCTGCTACATGCCCTTTTCCATGCAGTATGGCTAAAAGGAGGACGATGCAACGCAGATCCCCTGATCAGAGGTGGTCGAAGAATCACTGGACGAAATTTGAATCTGCTACTTGCACTGTCCTTCACGAAGCCCGCTGGAGCTATGATTGGGAGCAACTGTGACCATAATAGATGGACAGCCAAACCGACAACCACTCCTGACGCTAGCAGGAATGATGACATCTCTTTTCTACGATGGCAGACTGGAGATTTTTTTCCAGATGATGTAGCTAGCTGCTGGCGAATATTTGGAGAAGCTGAGACACAGACCCTCGCTGCAAATAGGCCAGAGCAGGAAGATCCACCGCCAACAGAGCCGCGACCGCCGCTGCCTGCAATCTATGGAAACGGTTCCTTGAATGATGATGACGACTCCTCTAGTGAAACTGACACGAGTCGTACCAGAACACCTCCACCTCGTCCCGGCAATGAAGACCAGAACGACCACGACACTGACTCCAGGCAGTCCCAAAGCGAAGGCAGCCAACTACGTCGTGATATGGAGAGCTGGAATTGCGATACACTTCTGCGCGTGTCGCCGAAAGAGATGTGGATCGAAGCATGTGGTAATCTCCGATGTTTCTTGGATGGATGTGTGACAATGGAGCAGACAAGCATACAACAGCCTGAATCCCACATCTTGAACCTATCCGAGCTTGTTGGACCAGTTGGCTATGACATTTCTGGAGAACCAGGGCCAAAAATGGTCGATGCCAAAGCGGCAGCGCAGTTGTTTATACCATGGAGCGTCAACTGGCGACAGAATCTCCCTGACGAAGCTGAGCTCCATGAATCCACAAAGCAGGCCTGTGCTGGCCTCTGCCCGCTCCAGAACACATGCCAAGATGACCAACTTCATGTGGAAATCTACTCGGATGGCTCTTTCAGTGGAAATGCAAACTGTGGTTGGGGAGTTGCAGTCGTTGTCCATGGCGAAAGCACTGGATGCATCTCCCTTATCACCACCATTGCCGGCAAAGTCCCCGTCAGTGAATCTGATCCTTTCTTCCTTGGAGCAGATGAATATGGTGCCAGCCAAGCAGAACGGACAGCGCTGATATGGGGAGCCCTTTGGGCCCTCCAAGACCACAACATCACACCGTGGGCCAAGCTGACCTTCGTCTTCGACAACACAGCAGCCGGTTTTTCAGCTGGTGGCCTCTGGAAGTTGGGGGAGGATCGCCTGTCCAGAAACATGCGAGGAGTACATCAACTACTTGCTACATATCGTATGCCATGGATTGTTAACTACCGACATCAAAAAAGCCATCAAGGTCACCCCTGGAATGAATTGGCAGACGTCCTGGCAGGACGTGCGGCAAAGGGCCTAGCAGGGGCGACAGAACCGCCCGTCCTGATTGCTTCAACGCTACAAGAAGCGGGACCAGAATGGCTATGGGTACTGGCGTCCCCTGCGATTACCAATGTCATGCCTATTGATGGGTCGGGAGCAATTCGATGGACGGAAAATCAATGGAAGCAATCTGGCCCAGCGATTTCATCCAAGGAGCTGATCCCATGTACGACAACTACTCTCAAAGGCGAGCGGGCTCAAATTAGAACGAGTTGTGTCACCGCCAACACACAGGGTATGTGCAACAAATACCCATTCTTCGAAGAGCAACTCCTTGACAGCTTCAACGTTGTTTGCCTCCAGGAGTCCAAGATGAAGGAGGGCTTCACCGAATCCTCCCGATTTCTTCGCTACGCTTCGCCTTCCAACAATGTCTGGGGATGTGAAATATGGCTCAACAAAATCTGGGGAATTGGACAGACAGCTGGAAAACCGCTCTTGATTGGCCGAGACGATGTTCGTGTCTTGATGTCAAAGCCCCGGATTCTGGCCATCGCTATAGACACCTCCTTGGCCAAATGCATCATATTGTCGGCCCATTGCCCACATCAACTAAGACCTCATACAAAAAAAATTTCCTTCTTCAATGACCTGGATGAATTGGCTGCGATGTTTGCGACCTATTCTTTGGTTCTCATCGGTATTGACCTAAACGGACGCGTGCCGGGCCAATTTGGATATGCCACGGGGACTATCGAAACGGACCCTCCGGATGAAATTGGTGAAAAATTTGCTGCCTGGGTTGATCAACAAGCCTTGGCAAATACCATCAACTTTCGAAGATGTGCATTCTGGACAGGAGCACACCTGGAGGCATACTTCCGGCAGCACCGCACGCCTGGACTATATATGTCTTGGAGGAAAGAGTTGGACGAGAGCGTGCCAATCATGGATCGCCCAGGACTTCGACCTGGGCAACAAACAGGAGGATCATTTCCCTCTCGCCTTGACTCTTGACTGGCAATCCAATATTGCTGGACCAGAGACAAGAATACAGCGGAAGCGAATAGACAAAGCCAAGCTGAAGAGCCCACAGGGTGCAAAGATCCTGCAAACAGAATTGGCTGGCTTCCATGGTCCTGCCTGGCAAGCAGACATTGATGTTCACTGCCGATGTTTGGAGATGAAATTGCATCAGGTAATTGATGAGCATTTTATTGCACCATCCAATGGACCAAGAGCCACGTACATCACAGCTGCGACTTGGGATCTTCGTTGTACCAGACTGGCGCTGAAGCGGCGGGTTCACATGACGAGTTGGGACAAGAAATGGATAGCCATACAAGCTGCGTTCCAGAAATGGCGCACTGGGACGGATCTGCTCAGCCAATGGTGGCACAAACGAGACCTCCTCTATGATGTCTACGCAGCTGCATTGTCCTTTTCGGGCTGGAGGTTGAAACAACAACTCCAGCAAGACAAAAACGCATACCTTGCTGATGTTGCAAAGGCATATGGCGGGCTCAATGGTTCTGACATCCAGAAGAAGCTCAAATCCGCTGGTATTGGGCGAAGAAGCAGAGCGACTGGCACCAAGAACCTCAGCCACATTCACGGACATGATGATGGACGGACACGAAGAGAAGAATTGGACACCCTATGGTTGGACCATTTCTCGAAACAAGAGATGGGGCAAGTCATGACCATTGATACATTCCTACAGGAGGCTGCGTCCAATACAGTGCCTATTGACGAGCTGTACATGGATGTTGACTTGGTGCCAACTTGCAATGAGGTAGAACGACTCTGCCAGTCCACTGCTACTGGCAAGGCTCCTGGCCTTGACAATCTGCCTGGCGAACTTTTCTGCGCCGCGCCGCAAGCGCTGGCGAGGTTTTACCAACCCCTGATGGCCAAGGCTATTCTGGCCATTCGGCAACCGATCCAGTGGCGTGGCGGCCTGCTGCACGACTGCTACAAAGGAGCCGGAAGCGCCACGGACCCAGATTCGTACCGCTCCCTCTTCGTCTCCTCTGTTGCAGGCAAAATGTATCATCGGCATCTACGCCAGAGACTTGGCAACTTCGCTGCTGACAACCTGGCAGACCTCCACCTAGGAGCTAAAAAAGGCGCTCCTGTAACCCTGGCGGCGCTGTCAGCCCTGCTGTTGACCAAATACTGCAAGGCGGACAAATGGTCATATGGATTGCTCTTCCTGGACATCAAATCAGCGTACTATAGAGTGGTGCGTGAACTTGCAGTTGGCCCTTTGGCGGACGACAGTACGATCATCAGGATTTTCCAAAGATTTGGGCTTGAAGCAGGAGACCTTCATGATCTGATGCAAACCATTAAGGATGGAGGCGTCTTTGCAGAATGCCACATGAGCAGCCATCTTAGGCACCTGGCTAAGGACCTCATGCACAACTCCTGGTTTGTAACACCGTACAGCAAGGGCAACTGCCTCAGTCGCACCGTCACAGGATCGCGGCCTGGAGAAACGTGGGCGGATTTGATCTTTTCATTTATCTTCAAGCGAGTCTTGGAAAGTGTGAGACAATATGCGACAGATGATGGCGCACTTCTTCAGCTGCCCTTCTCTGGTGAGCAGATGCCATGGGGGGTGCAGCAACAAGAAATGGTGGCTTTCCTTGCAGCAGCATGGGCTGACGATGCAGTCTTTCCTACGGCCGGCAAAGATGCACACGATATGGTCCAACAAATGCAGACCACTGCCAAGGCGGTGATGAGAGCATGTTTGGCGCATGGACTGGAGCCTAATCTAAAGCCGGGAAAGACTTCAATCCTTCTATGTCTCCGAGGCCGAGGTTCCAGAAAAACAGCAACCGAGTTCTTTGGGGATGGCGGCAAAAGCCTGGTTTGTACAAATGCGCAGGGTGAATTTCGCATCCCCGTGGTCCCACAATATAAACATCTGGGCGGTGTTCTGGATCATGGTGGTGATGGAATTGCTGAAGCAAGACGCAGAGCAGCTGTTGCCTCAGCTGCTTTTGAGGCCAAAGCTAAGCAGCTCTTCCTGAACAGCCATATCGACAAAGAGACCCGCTACAAGCTGTTCCCTGGAACTGTTGTCTCTACCTATTTCAACCTGGGCCTTTGGACCCCATTCGGAAAGGCGTGGGACATTCTCAGCAAATCATTTTCCAAATTGGCCAGGAAACTCCTGCGGCCAGATGTGGACAGAGACAACTTCTTCCGACTCCCCCCGGCGGTCGTGTTTGAAAAAACTGGAATCTATCCCCTCGAGATATATGCGGCTCAAAGACGGATTGGCTTGCTGAGAGGAATCATCATGGCTGGTGGAGATGTGTCATGGGCCTTGTTACAAACCGAGCGGCAATGGGTCCAGCAACTACAGATGGATTTTCACACAGTGCTGCCTTGCGCTGACAGACGGCCAGACTTCACACCTGCAACTTGGCCACTCTGGTGGCACCTCCTCAAGTCCGACTACGACAAGGTCAAAGATGGATACAAGAAAGGGGCTGCGTCTGCTTTCAAACAGTACCTGGCCAGAGAAGCTGTCAGGCTTCACCTGGCCCAGATGCATCGTGAAGCATATCGCTGTACTGGATACTTTCGTTCAGAGTACCCCTGGGTCTGCGCACCTTGTAGCAAAGGATTTGGGACGAAAGCAGGATTGGCAACGCATTTTTTTGCAGTACACGGTAGGCGTGCAGCATACCGATATACAGCCAGTGGATCTGTGTGCCGAAGCTGTGGTCGTGATTTTCATGGATACCCGCGGCTGCTTTTACACTTGCGTGCATCGGTGAAATGTGTGATGACCCTACGGTCCCAGGGTCATCTACTGCCAACACCGCATCCTGGAATAGACAGCAGATTCTGGCGGCAAGCTTGTACCGACCAGTACAATCCTGCACCTCCGAGACAGGTGCAACCACCAGTGCCATTTCCGGAAGCAGCAGCAGTGATGATGCATGAGATCGTGGACCAAGCATACTATGACATTTGCAACCTGTTCTTGGACCTAGGCGAGTTTGATGACCAGATCGATGGCCACGCTTTCCTCCTTGAGGCCTTTGCGAAGTTTCCCCTATTTCCAGCAGAATGTTTCCGAATAGCTGCAAGGATAAGGGAGGACCTGCGTCAGCTGAAAGAGGCGCAAGTCGTGGCTATCTGGCCAATTGAACAGTACAACTGGATGATGGACAGCTTGCAGGAGTTTGAGGACCGCTTCACAGGATTTGCATTCGATGAAACAGATGAGATGATTCTGGATGATCTAGGCGCTTTCACGCTGGATACAGACTGGCATGCGATGATTAGACATCTGGATAGGCAGAGGCCATCGCAGGTGACCCCTGAAGTTACATTTCGGCTGAGCTGTGATTGGGAAGCAGGCTTTTCACAACCCAGTAATGTAATGGATGTGCCTGCCCTGTGTGAGGTCTCGCACTCTGCCAAACTTTTGAGAAGAGTTTGGGGGCGCATCGTACAGGGGTATCCAACATACCTAGCAGCCCCAGCGACCTTCCGACAACATGCGCTTTTTGCGCCTTTCAAGGCGGCTGCTGAAGGGCATCGCCTTTACATCATTGCAACATAATTAGAGCAGCGACATCACTAACAGTCTGGAACAAGGGAACAAGGGTTTAGGGCTTAGGGACACCCCCGAAACGGATCACGAGTTGAAGCCCTAAACTCTCCTCTTTTCGGAGACTGCCCTATCACTAGGGTTTAGGGTTTAGGGTTTAGGGTTTAGGGTTTAAGGTTTAGGGTTTAGGGTTCATAGGTTCAGGGTTCGTAGGTTCAGGGTGCGCAGGGCTTTAGGGTTCATAGGTTTAGGGGTTAAAGGCTTAGGGGTTTCATAGGTTCAGGGTTAAGGGTTCATAGGTTCACAGGTTCACAGGTTCACAGGTTCACAGGTTCATAGGTTCATAGATTCATAGGTTCACAGGTCTCGGGTTTCGGGTTTCGGGCTCATAGGCTTCGTAGGTCCTCACTTTGACACTTGGGCATCCGCTGAGGAACCTTCACGTGGATCTCGAGCGAGCACGCAACGAGTTCCACTACCTGCGAGAGATGACCACCAGGCTCATAGACGTTGGGAAACCCTAAGCCCTAAGCCCTAAACACAAAAACTCTAAACCCTAGCCCCTAAACCCCAAACGAGGTTTTTCCCTGAGCTTGCTTGCTTGAGTCTTGCGGCACAAGTCCACTCTCTCTGAACCGCCATGTTTCCAGCCCCTAAACCCTCAACCCGAAACCCGAAGGGTGTGATAAGGAAGGCTTGCGATGCCGACATGGGTTGTTTAGGGCTTGGGAGCCCTATTGGGCTTGGGGGTGTAAGAAGCCAATGTGGGCTTCTGGATGGAAGCCGGCTTTAGGGTTGAGGCATTAATTGAAGCTCTTCAGGGGTTGGGGTTCGTTTGGGGTTTGGGGTTTGGGGTTTGGGGTTTGGGGTTTAGGGTTTCTTATCGAGCTATGCTCAGATACCAGACCATCCACCACACCTTCTGGTCGAACGTTGTGCCGTGGCGGGCAGGACATTCATGGCTTTCGCACAGCAACCTGTTTTGAGATCCCCACACAAGCACCTATATTTATCTTTATATATATATATATATGTATATATATATACATATCCATATATAGATATATATGCATATGTGCTTATGCGTATACGCATATTAAATATGCACATACCTATATATATATATATGCACACATGCTTCGAAGGGTGTTTTCTAATGTAACTATGTGCACCTGTGCTTGTGCGTGTTCTCAAGAACTTAGACAATCAAAGCGCGCTTCTACCCCAAGCGCTGTTGCTATTACTACTACTTCTACCACGACGACAACGACGACGCCTGCTGCTGCTGCTGCTGCTGCTGCTGCTGCTGCTAAGACGACCACTTCTACTAGGACTACAATAAACGTTAAGACAATCATATACAGCATTGGGCATGGTATATGGACAGGAAAACATGTGTCAAGTGGTACCTCATGATGACGGGCTCATATATATATATACACATGTATATGCATATGTAAATGTATATGTATATGTATATGTATATGTATATGTATATGTATATATATATATATATATAATATAGATATCCTTTGATATACAGATACATGCCTACGTATGCACGTGAATCGGTTGTTCTCGAGAGACTACCCCGTCAAGTGATGTTTTGGCTAAGGGTGCTTGTGCGCTTTCGCTAGTGTCCCTGAGCCCTAAACCCTAAACCCTAAACCCTAAACCCCAAACCCTAAAACCTAAGTCCCCGAACCACAGAACCCCTGAACCCCTGAAACCCCAAACTCCACGAAGCCCAGGCCTTGGCTTTCTGGCTTGGCTTTTGGATTGCGCTGATTGGACTGCCGAAGCTCAGCTGGGTTTAGGGTTTAGGGTTTAGGGTTGACCCCCCTATTGCTGCACTGGAGCGGTGCAAACAGTTGTGATGTCGTCGTGAGCAACAAGTGCAGCAGGAGCCATTGAACCAACTGTCGATCGTCGAATCCTTTCGGGCTCTAGCCCAAATGACAAGGGATGATGATTTCTTCTCTTGCTTAGCCATGCGGGGGGGTTTTTCTGTGATCCGTCAAGCTTCAAAATGCGGCTGAGACATGGGTTGCAGCCTCTTCACCGCAAAGGTCGATCTCCCACTAATGTGGCCCGGGATCGTCGCCGGCGGGCAGATTGGCTTATCAGAAGGGCAGGCCGGCGTGAGACAGTGCCAAAGGAACGCATCTGGCTGTTGGACAGGCTCTGCAAGTCATGTGAGGGCGCAAATGGAGCATTTGCGCGTTTCTCTCGGCGCTTCAATGCATTGCCAGTAGCATCTGTTGGAAGGTCGCGAGAGATTTTTCCCATGGGTGACGTTGGTGAAGCCGTTATTGGGTTTTTGCAGTTGAAGGTTTGGCACGAGAAAATCATGTGCAGATTCGTGAACCTCGTCATCATGATCCTAAACTTTCTGTTTGGGGTCGGCGCCTCTTCCATGAAGCCGCCCAGAATGACGACTGCTCAAACCGACGTGGCTCGGCGCATTGCGGATCGCTGCAACGACTTCTACAATCGCTTGCAGGGTGCAGATGATGGGTCATGGGAGCACTTGCTTCCGGACTGGGTGCCTGGTGTCGTGAAGCCAGAGGGCCCGAAATATGCAGCTCTTATATGTGATGCCGTGGACGTCCTTGACAGCTGCGGGATGCTCGACCCCCTGCCGTACCTGCCTGCAGCCTCACGCGTGTTGCTGTCAGATGCTTCTGCCGTTTTCCCTGCGCCTCCTCCAGGCTTGGCGCAGTTTGACAGTATTCCCGATGCTGACAGACCCGAGTACGTCAAGCTGGTGGCCAAGCAGTTGCGCAGTGGAAAGTTAGGCCTGCGCACTTCTGTGTCCGGTGGCGGCACTGTGCTGGTGGTGACAAAGCCTGGCACTGGAAAGCTGCGCGAGATTTGGCATGGAAAACGTGTCTCGCAGGCTGCTGCCCAGCCCTTCTCGCCACGGCATCTGGCTTCACCGACGGCTTTGCTGCATATGGAGGCCAGTGCGGACAAGCCTCTCCGCGTAAGCAAACGTGATGCAAAGTGTTGGTTCGACCAGTTGGCCCTGCCGGAAGAACTCCGGGAATGGATGGGCAGGCCGCCCGTCAGCCTTGAGGAGCTTGAGCAGTACGGCGGCATGAGCAAATCCGAAGTGGCACTGCATGCGCAGTCGGCCGTTGATGACGCTGAGAGGTTGTTTCCTGTGTCGCACGTTTGGCCCATGGGCTTCTCCTGGTCATCCCATATTGCCCAAGAGGTGCTGCTCTCGTGCTGTCGGGAGGCAGGCCTTGGGGAGGATTGCGTGCTAGCGTGCGATGCGCCCACTCCTTCCCAGTTTGCTCACGTTTTTGCTGCTGCCACAGACGATGCAATGTTTTTCAGCAATGCTGGACCTGGGGTGACGAGCAGCTGCGCGCAGCGCTTCGACAAAGTCATGGCGGAGCGTGGGGCAATCAAGCACCCAGGCAAGGATGTGGACGACGAGCTGGACGCCACTTGCGTGGGCGTGCGGCTGGAAGGTGGCACACATTTGGCGGCGCCCCCGGCACGATGCTTGGCGCTCACCATCCTCGTGTTGGCCCTTGCGGACGCTTCCTATGCCTCACCGAAGGAGGTTCACTCGGCCTTGAGCATGCTGCAGTGGTACGACTTGCTGAGGCGTCCTAAGTTGTCTACTTACCAGAAGGTTTACTCCTTCGTTCAGTATCCTGAAGCCACGACCCTGCACCGCATTCCGCCCGAGGTCGTGGAGGAGCTGCTAATGGGCTTGGTTCTTGGTGTCTTTTGGAAAGCGGACCTCTGCAGACCATTCCTTCCTTTGGTGGCTGCGTCCGACGCGAGCACAGAGTATGGATTCGGGGCATCAGTGGCCCGGCTACCGCAAGACAAAGTTCGCGAGCTGGCAAGAGTTGCTGAGAAGCAAGGCACTTTTGTCACTCTGGACAGCGGCAAGGACTACACGGCGAGGACAGGAGTCGAGCACAAGCTGGGTCTTCCGAAAGCTGCTTTCGTGCACGTCTTCAGCGTCAAGAAGAAGCGTGACGCGCATATCAACATTCTGGAGGGTGAAGCCTTCGTGGTGTTGCTGCGCTGGCTCTTGCGCTGTCGGAGCAGACACTGTTCGAGGATCGTCATCTTGGTGGACTCAGCAGTCTGGCAAGGCGCGGCAGCGAAGGGGAGGTCTTCTACATCATTGAACAGGTTGCTTCGCAAGGTCGCAGCTCTGACGATGGCAGGTGACCTTCACCTGTACTTGGTGCTAGTGCCTTCAGCAGAAAACCCAAGCGATGAACCATCCAGAGGTGTTCGCGTCCGGAAGACAAAGTCAAAGAGACGTCCAAAGACCCCAAGTTTCCGCCAACTGCTGTCTACATTACATGCGGCGGCAATGGCAGCGGGTGCATCAGCAGTGCCTGCGAGCTTTGGAGCAGAAGAGTTGTTGTTTTGTTTTTGGAATTTGTTTGGTTTGTTGGCCTGGCTGTAGCTGGTTAGCCGCCGTTCTACGTTGAGTTGAGCTGGAAGTGCAAACTAGTCAGCCTTGTGCCGGTGCCATCAACAGAGTTTTGCTTTTTCATGAATCTGCCGCTTCCGTCTGGGCCATCCGGGCTTCATGCTGATGGTTCCTGATCGGGTACCTCCTTGCGAAAGTTGCTGCGGGCGCACAAGGAGTGGTTGCGCTGTCCTCTGATATGGCCAGGCTTGCGGAGTGCTTGACAGCCTGTCCATGGAAGGGGCTCGAAGGCGTGAGCAAGGTGCCGTTTAGCCCTTAGGCTGGCTTCTTGCAACCAAAATTGGCGGCCAATGACGCCCACTGGCTGCCGTTGGCCAGGGCTGTGGGGGTGGGCATTCTTGTGATGTGTATCTGGGCTCGCGGTGGTCAGCCAGCACATTTCTTGCTTGATCTCTACTTCCTGGCAGATGCATGGCAGGCGTAAAACACTGCGACGGCATTCAGATGCCTCAGGGTCAAGGGTGACAGCGAGCATGACAGCAATGACCCCCCTATTGCTGCACTGGAGCGGTGCAAACAGTTGTGATGTCGTCGTGAG